ATGATGGTGCCAACTTGGGCCAGTGAAGCAACATCCTCCACAACTAGACTGAAGAACAAAACGACAGCAACTTGTCTGTTCCCCTTCCCCGATTCCCCAGCGCTGTTCCCATCCCCCAATTCCCCCCCAAAAAAAAATCTTAAAAAAAAAAAAGAGTTGGCTTAAGACCCTAGCTCTGAGCAGCAGCCCTCCCCTCCATACCCCCTCCCCTGCCGTTTGGATCCCACATTAGGGCCAATGACGCTGCGCCCTCTACAGCTAAAATGGTGAACAGCAGCTCAGCCTCGAGCTGGGATGCCATGAGTCCCCAGATACAGCATAGGCTGCAGTGGAGCTGGGGTGGGCTCCCATAAGCTACCGAGAGCCACTCGCAGCTGACGTGATCTGCCAAGAGCCTCCTGGTGTGGCCGTCCAGTGACTGGAGACCAATCTGCCTCACCGGGAAGAGCGCAATGATAATACTAACATTGGCCAGTGAAGCGACATCCTCCACAACTAGACTGAAGAACAAAAGGTCAGCAACTTGTCTGTTCCCCTTCCCCGATTCCCCAATAAAATCTTTAAAAAAAAAAAAAAACCTCCCTCCTGAGCTTCATTCTCCTGTTCACAGACTTCTCAGGAGTCTTCTGTTACGATTTTCTCTACTGCCTCACCTCCCATCCCTCCTGTGGTCTGGCTTCAGGCTGTCCCCATTAGGTCCCAGAAACATCCCCCACCTAGTAGCCTTTTCCCTGACTCCAGCAACACTCCTCAGCCTTAACTGATCTGCAGCTTCCATCACAGCAGGTGAGAATTCCCCTGGCTTCCAAATCTGGTTTTCCTCCTCCCTGTTTGGGGTACTCCTTTTCTGGTTAGTATCCTTCAGGACCGTTCCCTGAGCCACCCCATCCACTACTACCACCTGTCCATTCATGATTGTTTAGCCTTGACTCTCTGCTGAACTCAAAACTATAGATCCAGCTGTCCTCAGACTCTCTCCCTGGATGTTCTACAGGAACATCATGCCCAACTTATGCCAAATAGACCAAGCACTTCATCTCCCCCATGCCCCCATCTCAGCAAGAAGCTTCACCCTCCATCCAACTGGCAAAGGCAGTGAGTGGTCCTCTTACCTCATTCCTCATCCAGTGTCACCAGGTCTGTTATCCTTCCCTGAACTACTCTTGGTGTTCACCCCTTTACTCCATCTCTGCTGCCACTGCCCCAGCCTGGGCCACTGACCTCTCTCTCACTGCATCCTCACCAGCCTCCCCTTTAAAGGCTACTCACTGGCCTCGGGATAAAATCCACTCTGTAAAATGGCTCACCAGACCTCACACTATCTGCCTCTCCCACTCACCAACTGGTCTCTCTGCAAATCTACCTACTCCTAGATCCAGCCATTCAAACTTTCTGTTCGTCTACCATTCCGCTTACCTTGTTTTAGTCCTCACCCGAGGCTGGCTATGCCCAGGACATTATCCTTCTCTCAGAACCCTCCCCTCTCCCCCTATTCATACTCCTATCTCTCCCAAGAAGCCTAACCCCTAAGCTGGGTTAGGCCCCTGCCCAGTGCTCCCACAACTTCTTGTATTTTTCACATCAAGAAACAGGTAATATTTTATTACTGTTGCTTAATATTCGGAGTCCTACACTGAGTGTGAAATGGGGACAGGCAGGATTCCTCTATCTTGTTTACCACAGTATTTGCAGTACCCAGGATGATGCCTAAGACACAGCTGGTGCCTATTGAGTGATTGTTCAATGAGTGAAGAGGTAAGGGCTGGCCTGAAACCCCTCTTCTAGGGTGGGTGACTGAGGCCCCCGTCTGCAGCAGGCCATCCTGTGTGTATGTATGTGGGGCAGAATCCTCAATGGCACTCCAGCATTCAAGGCGGTCAACTCTGCCCAGCAGCTCGGCTAAGTAGGGTTGTAATTGTGGTCTCTCAGGGTCCTGTGGGTGAACAGGAGGTCAGCAGTAGCAGCAGAAGGGGACCTAGGGTTACATCCAGGTGCTCCAAATCCTGGCTGGGCAACTGGCTGACCGCCCTTTTGTCTGGTACCCAGCCTAGGGCAGGCTGCCATCAGGATTCTCCAGGCCCAGCAAGTCCTCTGCCAGGCTGGTGAGCTCATTCTCTTCCAACGCCTCCACCAGGCGCTGCAGCGTGGCGCGGCGGCCCTCGGCCTGCACAAAGCGCCGCAGTAGCTGGAAGGCCTGCTCGTACAGCCCCTCTCGTTCGTATTCATAGGCCAGGGAGTCGAGAGCCGGGTCCCGCAGCGCTCGACAGCCACGCTGCAGAGAGCGCCCCACCTTGCGCCATTTGAGGCCCACGGAGCGCGCGAACGTCTGTTGGTCCTGCAGGCTTAGCGGCCGATTCACTGCGGGTTGGGGGGAGTTGGAAGCGGAGTAAGCTCAGGGAGCCACAGAGCCGGTACCTTGCTATTCCCGCCCAGCGATTTCCCGGCCCAGACCTCACTCCTTCCCCAACTCCATCTTGCCGGTGACCCTGCCTCTGCCTGTCCGTGCGCGCCTCACCTACGGGATGACCCTGGAACAGAAATGTCTGGCCAGATGGCGGCGGCCGCTTCTCCTCCGACGTAGAGGGCACCAGGGACTGCGCGGGGGCTGGAGCGACCTCCACATCGCCACCCTGGCCCCCGGAGCCGCACGTCAGATTCCGGAGCGCATCCTCCAACTCAACGAGTTCCTCGTCCCGGAGCCGGTCGGGCTAGGGAGCGGAGTACGGTGTTGGTGGGGGTCTTAGGTACTGATCCCCGCACCACCCCGTCCTGACCCCAGCCCGGCCGCACCTTCTGGGCGAAGATGAAACTCAAACAGCGCTCCTCTTCCGTGAGCAAGGCATCCAGCAGCTCCGTGCCGGCGCGCAGCTCCAGTTGCAACGGCATGGAGCGCAGGGCGAGCGCCGCAGCCAAGCGGCTCTCCAGCACGGTGCGCAGCGCCCCCTCGCGGTAGGCGCAGAGGAAGCGGCTGCAGGGCTGGCGCCCGGAGAAACGCAACTGCACGATCAGCTGCGGGTCGCTGCGGTGAATCTTGAGCATCTGCAGCACGTCTGGGCTCCCGCTTTCTGCCGAGGCGGGCAGTCAGGCGCCAGGCGGTCCCCATGCGGGGCGCAGGAGGGGTGAGGTCCGTGGTCAGAGCCCTCCCCATCCCCAGACCTGGGGGCACGGGGATACCCCAAAGTTTCCCAGCCGGGAAACAAAATTGGGAGGCAAACAGCAACAACCCAGAATGAAGGCAAAGACCTACCATAGGGAGCATACTTAGGCGGAGTTGGTGCCCTCCTAGCCCCATCCCTAGAGCCCCAAATTAAGGTGGGCAAAAGGGACTTGGGGAGAGACTGCAGCACAGTTAGAGAATATGCCCTGGGCAGCCAAGCCATCTGGGCAGGCGGCCAGCGGGACAGGGGAGGGGCAGGAGGTCTCATATCTTCCGCCTCCAAGCGCGGCTCCGGCTGCCCCGCAAGGAGAGGGGCTCTTGCCGCTCTGGGGCCCCGGCCGGATCCCCCAACCGGCTTCTGCCTCTGGTCCTGCCCTGACATGGGAAAGGGGGACCTGAAAGGTAGGTACTGGGAAGGGGTCTTGGGAAAGGAATGCAGCAGTAAGAGAGAAAAACAGAGGTATGCGCAATTAGTAGAAAGCAGTGAGTATGCTGGTCTGGGGAGTGGGGGACATAGAGCAGTGGGACGTTAGTGCACAACTAGGTAGATCTTACAAAGACACCGGGACACATGTCTACACCCAAGGGCACACGTATGTAACAGAGAAGACAGCCTACGAAACCAGTTGTCCACCTCCTCTCCGCCCCATCAAATCTTTTCCCTAACGCGGTAGTTAAGCACAGGCCCTCAGAGCTGAAGACGTGGGGTATCAGCCCTGACCCCGCCCACAAAAAGCCCCCAGGTCGGCCCTTTCCGCTCAAGTGCCCGCTCAACCACGCACCTGCCAATGCAGTCCGCAGAGCCCTGTACACCTCCACCTTCTGCTGGGGGTGAGCGTAGGCATCCGACAGGACCACCTTGTCCAGCGAGGACTCCACAAACAGGTACGCGCTGCCCACCCACTCCTCAAGCCCCTTTGGCCCAGCCGCCATCTTGCCTCCTGGAGATGCAGACAGGCATCCAGATTACTCCCACCCCAGCCCTGGAAACAACCGTCCAGTCCCACGTGGCCCAGCTGTCCCCTCCTCAGTTGGCACCTGGCACACCTGTGAGAGAATGTTCATCATCCCACAGGCAGCCCTTTGTGTCTGGCTCTGCACAATCCAGCCCAGCTCAGCCCAAAATTGCAGTGAGGACTGTCCCTCCACTTCCTCCTCAGAGAAAGAACCCAGGGTGATAGTGGCAGGAGAGGAGAGGTACTGTCCTCCAGTGGAGGCAGAGAAGTTCTGTGCCCTCCTCAGGCCAGGGTGTCTCTTACCAAAGCTGACAGGAGACAACTTCATCCTGAATGGTACCTATGTCCCACAGCCAACCGGAACCATGCCCTGGTATGTCCTCAGCTTAAACTTGAGCCCCCAGGATCCCTGTGGGATCAAAGCTCCCCCTTCCCCACAGCAGTTTTCTCACCTACATTCCTACTATAATCCTGTTTTGTTTTTTTTTCACTTCAAAGGACACCTGTAGTTTGTGCCTACCCACATTCCCTTCCCAGGTGCTGACTGACCTTTGGGGCCTTCCTACTTCCCTCTTCTCAATCCATGTGCCTATTGGGAGGGCAGACCCCACTCCCTAGTCCAGGTGTTGGCATGTGAAACAGGCCTGGCCAATCTGCATATTCCATCCACCTTTCTGAAATGATTAGCTCAGAGTTGGGTAGATTCAAGTTGGACCAATTACAATCAACCTGCAACTTTGGCTGGATCAATAGGAAAAAGGAGTGATTTCCCTTCTTTTGAGGCTGAGCTGAAAGGAAGGGTGGTGAGTCTCCTTTGCCACTGCTTGGGAAGAGCCTGGCTGAGAATGAAACTGACAGAAGAAAGCAGTGCCCAGAGATGAAGAGGTGCACTCATAACCACACTATACCCCTGCCTCTAGCTGTACCCTGGACTTTTCATTCATGTGAGCTAAATCATTCCTTTTTGTTCTAAAGTCCTTGGAACTGGGCTTTTGTCTTATGCAACTCAATTTGTTCTATTGGGTTGTCGGAAAAGTCATGATGCATTTTTGCAACGAAAAAAATAGAAAAAATATGTCATGACTTTTCCGACAACCCAATATTACAGATTTCTCCCCTGTCCAGACAGAGCCAAAGCCCCTTGGTGCTAGAATCTCCTCCATCATCTGACAAAATCCTGGGGAGTGGGGGGCAAAATTCCGAGCCAGGGAACCACTGCACTGAGCCTCAGTTCAGTGGCCTCCCATGAAGAAGGAGGTGGGAAACTGCCCTGCCTCTTTCTCACCATCTCACCGGAGGCAACATTCCACTCTTGAAACATAGGCTCAAGACCCCACCTCCTGCCCCATCTACCACACTTTTCAAATCTCTGGTCTTCAGCATTTACATACGGAGATCTAGAAGGGGTGCTGAGCCCCAGCTGTGAGCACCCTGGACGTCATTGCTCTGGGCGGGACAGATAGGGTGGCCCCAGCTGGCATCCATTTACCTGAGGGACAGGGAACCTCAGGGGAGGGAAGCCAGAAGGAACCTGGACCACAATTCTTGGACATTGTTGGGGAGGGAATAGGAATCCTGAGCTCAAAGCAGAGGCTGATTAAGATCTGCCCCCAGACCTTAACCTGAGAGCCAAAGCTGGGACAATAAATGGGGAGGAGCCCTCCAGCATCATTCAGACCTGGTAAGAGAAATGATACCTGCTGATGGTCCTAATCTAGGTCTGAGCACAGGGGACACGCCTTTTGAGTCCCCCCTCCCCTGACAATAACCTTTTGATAGAAAACATATGAATACTTGTGTATTTACCCAAAACAGTAGTCTATGGGGGTGGGAGGAGATTTGGGGGATTTTAATTTTCATTGTATTTAACATTCTATTTATAAATTAGACACATTTCCTTTGTATTAAAAAGGCAAAATGTTTTTCTTAAAAAGCAAAAAAAAAAAAAAAGTTAGACTCACTAAGTGACGAATGAGACCACAAGTGGTAGGAAGACAAGTTGGGGAGCCCTGGGGGAGTGGCCCAGGCTGTAGAAGAGTATAGGAACATGCCCTGGAAACATTTCCTCTTTCTCTCAAGTGAGGGTGCTGACAGGATGGATATGGTCCTGCCCCAAGGGGTGGAAGTGATGTTGGGGGCGGGGAGGGAGTTAGGGAGAACTGGGCCAGAGTTTACCCTTCAGGCCTACCAAGGGGCACTGGAAACCTGGAGGCTTGGGGGATGTGCCATCACACTCACTAGGACTGGACAAATGGGAGAAGTCATACCGGTCGGCGGGATCCCTTGGCTCCCATAGTTCCCTTGGGAACTTTTTCCTACTGTCCTTCCACAGAAGCCCCTCCTTGGGAAGCCCCGCGCTCACCCACCCGGAGTCCGCCTTTCTTTGGACCTGGAAACGCTTACCTGACCTGGGACTGAGGGACACGTGGGTACCGACTCAAGAAAATACGCCCCTACCACCAGTAGCCAGCGCCCCGTTAACACAGTCTAACAGTTCCCAGGCAGCAGGGTGGGCGGTGACGGCCTGCGGGCGTGGCCCCTCTAGGACTGAAAGCCTTGGACTTCCAGGATCCAGGCAGGCGCGCCCCCTGCTCAGCCGCGCCGCTTCGGTGCTCTTAAGAGAAGCTCCCCAGCCTCTCACTATCCCACCCTCACGTTGGTGTTTGTTTCGCAGGCGCCACTGGCTGGGGCGGGCAAGGGGTCTCCGCTCACAGATCCGTTCAGAACTAGCCCCTCCCTCTCACCCTCAAAGCCCTGCGGCCTTTCGAAAGCCCCTAGCTAGGACAAGGAACCTGCGGGGGCCAAAGTCAGTACCCTCTCTCCCGCCTCCCACGGAAACAGCCCAATAGGCCGCCGCACCCACCTGGCCCGGGCAGCCGCGGGTGACAACCGCGCCGCACCAACGCTCCTGAGCCAGGATCCACCTCTGCTCCCCCCCACACCGGGAATCCCACCCACCCTCTGCACTAACCTGGCCGCCCTGGCCCGGCCCCGACTTCCACTCCCGCCGGGCTCCACTGGACTCGCGCTGCTTCCGGGTGTGCGCGGAGCGCAGGGGCGGCGCCCCAGCCCGAGCCGCCCCGTCCGCCCCGGCGTCCCGCCCCTCCTGTGCCCCGCGGCTCCTTCTAGCCCACTGACCTCCACTGAGAGTCCCCAGCCTCTGGGCAAAGCCCACCTGGTCCACTGAGCAGGTAAGACACTGGCACCCGAGGTTAGACGGTAGGAAAAACTGCCCGCGGAAAGGGGATTCAGGGACTTGCGGTTCTTACGAGGCCGTAGGGCTCCAGGGTGAGAGCTGCCCCGCTTCCTCCGGCGGGAAACGGACGAATCAACAAGGGGACGTCCCTTGGGGACCAGAATTTTCTGGTGCCTTCTAGGGTTCGAGCTCAATGATCTCTGCTACTCCCTGACACTCAGAACGGGGTGCTGGTGGATCCCAGGTTCAAGCCTGACCGAGGGGGTACCTGAAGCTCCAGGATACACGTGCAAATTCCAGCAAGGGCCGTTGGCTTGGAAAATATGGGAAAATAGAAAACCGGCAGGTGGTGTACACATTAAATGTGTACAAAAACCTTCAAGCACCTTAAAATTGGCAACTTCAAAGAGGACGCACACTTTCCAACAACGCCCGCCCCGGAAAGCCCGCACTTCGGGCTGGGTCTGCAGAATTCCAGCTGAGCCTAAACCTCCTCCAAGGGAGCCTGGGCTCTTCCGAGGTCAGGATCGAACTTGAACCCAGAGCCCCTCGCGCCCAAGCTTTTCTCCCACCCGCCTTTCATTGGAAGCTCCCAGGACCTCTCCTCTGCGAAGTGGAAGAAGGGAAGGAGCCTCCCCTTTGTGGGAGGATACAGCGGTGCCCCACCCGCGTCCCCGTCTCCTGATTGGCTTGTGATCTCTGCCAATTAAAAATCTCTAATACTCCTGCCCGATTAACCCTATCGTCACTCTCTATCGTCACTCACTTGTGACTGGCGGGGCTAGGACAGGGTTTCTCAACTTGGGACCTGTGGAGTCAACCCACGCTTCTTGAAATTCAGATTCCTAGGCCCTACTCTTTCCTGGGGAAGTTGGAGAGCGCTGCACAAGCCCCGACTCTGGACAACCCAGTCCTCCCCACCGCCCCCAGCTGAGAGAACACGCCTCGTCTCCCCCTGCTTCCCTACACACGTACACAACTGCCAGACTAATCTTCCAGGGGTCACGGAACTGCTTCCCTTCCAGCTTTGACCCTGAGTACTAAGGAAGGACTGGGTTCAAGCCCCACCAGAAGGGCCACTGAAATAAGGGCTTCTCAGATAGCACGGGGCTACATAATCACCGGACACTTGTTCACAATACAAGTGGATTCCGCGGACCCACCTACTAAATCAGGCTTTCCGGAAAGACTTTAGTAACTGAGAGGAAGATCCAATAGCATCGTCCAAAATCTGGATATTCGGCTTTATTAACTTTGTGCATAGGTCATGGTTGCGTTCCTTCTAATAGTGTGTAAAATGGGGATTTTTTAAAAATAAGTGATAACTAGTTTAAAGGAGAATCATAAATCCTATGGGGGTCCAGGGCCGACTTCATGGGTCTGAGACCTCTGCAGTCGCACAGGACTCCATGCTTGATTCAATTACTTGGTTAAATGCCCTGTTGTCACTGACTTGAAATTCTTTTTTTCTTTTAAGATTTTATTGGGGAATTGGGGGAGGGAACAGCGTTGGGGAATCAGGGAAGGGGAACAGACAAGTTTCTGTACTTTTGTTCTTCAGTCTAGTTGTGGAGGACATCACTTCCCTGGCCCATGTTGGTACTGTGATCATTGCACTCTTCCCAGGAGAGGCAGATCGGTTGTGGGCCATTGGAAGGCCACTCACAGGGGCTCACAGCAGCTCACACCAGCTGCTTATGTTGGCTACTGGCCACTCACAGTAGCTTACAGCAGCCCACTGCAGCCTACACTGTCACCAGCCACTCAACAGCAACCCAGCTCCAGGTCCACCTGTTGTTCACCATCTTAGCTGCAGAGGGCGCAGCGTCACTGGCCCATATAAAATCCGAACCAGCGCCCCTGCTGCTCAGAGGTCGTGTTCCCAAGCCAACTCTTTTTTTTTTTTTTAATTTTTATTGGAGAATTGGGGGGATGGGAACAGCGCTGGAGAATTGGGGAAAGGGGAATAGACAAGTTGCTGTCGTGGGGATTTTTTTGTTCTTCAGTCTAGTTGTGGAGGACGTTGCTTCACTGGCCCAAGTTGGCACCATCATTGTGCTCTTCCTGGGTGAGGCAGATCAGTTGCTGGCTTCTGGACAGCCGCTCACTGCGGCTGCTGGCCGCTCAAGCTGGCTGCTGGCTACATACGGTAGCCCATGGCAACACACTGCCACAGGGGCTGCAGCCTACGCCGTCTCCGGTGACTCACAGCAGCCCAGCTCCAGGTTGAGCTGTTGTACAGCATCTTACCTGTGGAGGGCAGTGTCACTGGCCCTCATATGTGGGATCCGAACCGGGGCCCTCTGGCATCCCAAGCCAGTTCTTAACCATCGTGCCACTAGGCTTGCCCTTGAAATTCTTAATAATGTTTTGAACAAAGAGCACCACATTTTCATTTTGCACCGGGTGCAAATTATACAGCAGCTCCTGGGCCACAAGCATTTCTATATATAGGTTCCAGTGTCCCCTTCAACACTCTGGCCTTCCTGAGCCCAGGGACGGCCCTCTCTCTCCAGGCCAGAGTTGCTGGAAGTAGCGCAGCCTCCATCCAGCGCCAGGCAATGGCCGAGTCTGGAGAGCAAATGCCTGAGGAGGTGCTGGCGCTCATCTTCCGCCACCTGCCCCTGCGGGACCGAGCTGCTGCCTCCAGGGTCTGCAGAGCCTGGGCTGCTGCTGCCACCTGCAGCACCGTGTGGCACGACACGAACATCAGGTAAGCTGGCTTCTCCCCTCCTTCTTCCTGCCACCCTCCCCCTCCTCCCTCTCTCCATAGAGTCAGGGGTTGGGGAGATTCAGTGACTCTCCCCATATTAAAAAGCATAATCATTACTAACATTTCTTGGCCACCTACTGTGTACCAACCATTGTTCTAAGTGCCTTACATATATTAATTAATAGGTAGTATTATCTCCATTGCACAAGTAGGAACTTGAGGCAGAGATTAATCACTTCCTGCAGGTCATTCAGCTAAGGAGTGACGGGAGGAATGTAAACTTGGCCATGCCCCGCCTCCTTAGAGACCGCTGAGAAAGCCCAGTTCCTAAAATATCATTGGCTCTCCCTGCCAGGGTTTCAACTAATGGCAGACGCATGAGAAGTCTTCAGAATTTGCTAGGATGGGCGTTCCCTCCTAGCATTGTGGCTACCATGGGGCAACCAGGAAAGGTCGGGACAGAGAGGGTTGTGTGGGTAGGGGGCAGGAACAGGGGATGGTATCTGGCACCCAAGCTGAGGAATGGGTAGAGGCTTCCCTTCGGCTCGCGGGGACATGGCCGATGCCTTTTCTCCACCACTCTAACCCCAAGTTGCGACTTTGAGCGAGAAGGCATACTGCTACCATATCTGTCCGCCTGCCTCGACCATATTCACAACCTACGCCTGGAATTTGAGTCGTCGAAGGAGCCGAGCCGCCGGTCGGCCACGGAGTTGCTGACCTCACTGGCGGGACGTTCCCCGGGGCTTCGAGGCCTTTGCCTGGAGTGCCGAGGAGAGAAACCACTCTTCGACGCTGGCCGCGACGTCCTGGACGCCGTGCACGCCATCTGCCGGGCCGCCCGCGAGCTGCATCACCTTGACCTGCGGCGCTTGCCCTTCACTCTAGACGACGAGCTAGTGCTGCAGGTGGCACGCGGCTGCCCCGAGCTCCGCAGCCTTTTCCTGAACAACAGTACGCTGGTGGGCAGCGTGGGTCCGGGGTCCGTGCTCAAGCTACTAGAAGCCTGCCCGCACCTGCGCGCCCTCGGCCTGCACCTAGCCAGCCTGTCGTACACAGCCCTCCAGGTGCTGATGGCGCCGCACCGCGCGCCTTTCACTCTCCTGGCCCTTCGATGCGCGTGCCCCGAGGACGCACGTGCACCCCCTCTACCCGATGAAGCCTGGGCCGCGTTGCGCCGCCGCCACCCTGGACTGGCCGTGGAGCTGGAACTGGAACCGGCAATACCTGCTGAGAGCGTGGCGCGCGTCCTGCAGCCTGCAGTACCCGTGGCTGCGCTTCGCCTCTGCCTCTCTGCGGACACTGTAGGCCCCTTGCGCTTCGCTGCACAGCATTACAGCGCAACTTTGCGCGTGCTCGAGGTGCGCGCCTCCGCCTCCACGGAGCTGGACGCCGCCCTGGAGTTGCTGGCGGCGCGCTGCGCGGGCCTACACGAAGTACACTGCTTCTGCCTAGTACGACCCTCGGTTCTGCACGCCTTTCGCACTCACTGCCCGCGCCTGCGCAGTTACACTCTTAAACTAACACGGCAACCACATCCCTGGAGGCCCGTGCTTGTGGCGTGATAGGGCGAACCTGTCCCCCCACCCCCTGCCCCAGCTTACGAGTGGCTTCTAAGATGCTGGATGGGTTTGCCCAGGCACACGCCAACTGCTAACCTGCTCCTTCAGGACTCTGTTGCCTCTTGGGGATGGCGTGTGGGACCCCTGAGTCCACTCGGTGCTCTCAACATCTGCCGACACCTACAGTCCCTGTACTGGAATCATCCCCCTCCAACCTCCCTCTTCTGCAAACGCTGCGCTAGCTCTGCGTCCCCGGCATGGGGTGGGAGGGGATGACACAGGCGCAGGCCGGACCTCAGGAGTGAGTGTGAAATAAACCCTGCATCCTGTGAAATACCGGGTCTTCTCTAGAGGGGGAGGGCGGGGAGCCCGCAGAGGCCCGAGGAGCAGTCTGGACAGGGTGAGAGACAGCAAGACCTCAAGTTCCGGTGTACTGATGCGGTTGCGGGAGACAGGGCAGAGAGCACCCCACATCCTTGGAATTCCGCCCTACAGTTTGGCGGAAAGGTGTCCACTTCTCACCCCCTCCCTTCCCTGTCTGTCCCTCTCTGCCCGCTGTACCCTGGGCTTCACTGTGCCCACAGCCATAACCTTCTAGGACTTCCGCAGCCCACACCAGGCTGTAACGGGCTATTTCTCCCTCTCTCCTCCCACCCCACCCCCAAAAACGGGAAACAGCAGGCATGAGAAGGGTGGAACTCGAACCCAGGTCTCCCTTCCCACCGCACCCCTTCATACACAGCCGATCCCAGCCTGCCCTTTCTGTCTGCTGATGCTGAGGCCGGGGTCTGAGACCCGCCCCCGCGGGTTCGCACGTGGCCCCCACCTGACCCAGCTCCGGGAGGCGGAGTAGGGCGGGGCGGGCGGCAAACACAGCACTTTTCAGGCTTTGACAAGCCCGGATCGTTTTGCAGGGCCGAGACTGCGCCATGCAGGAAGCGCCAGCCGCGCTGCCCACGGAACCGGGCCCCAGCCCCGTGCCTGCCTTCCTCGGCAAGCTGTGGGCGCTGGTGGGTGACCCCAGCACCGACCACCTGATCCGCTGGAGCCCGGTGAGGGCTGGGGCCCCTCGACTAACCCAGTGGTACCCGGGATCCCTCCACGTCAGTGAACATCCATGCCCACCCAACCGTGGCCTGGGATGCGCCTGTGGGTCCCTCAATTCAGCTGCCCAGGGTAGTTATCTTGGAGGGAGTGTGGAAGATGTAGGTGAGGCGACTTCCTCCGGGCCGAGGAAAGGGTGGGAGCTTTCTGGAAATCTAGAGCCAGACAGATCTTTGTGGTCATTTACTTCCCACCCCACGTCATCAGACAGATTGGAAAACAGAGACCAGAGGTGCAGGCCTGGGTCTGGTTCTAACTCAGAGTCACATCTCAGGGCTGGGACCCAGGTCTAGCCTCTGCTCCTACTTTCCGAGAACCGAGTACGGAGTCTGGGTGGGGTTGGGGTAGGGATTTACTGTGGTCGCCCGCCCCAGGCTAGGCCTCAGAGCTGGTTCTAGCCTGGTCTCCCGTGTCCCCACAAGTGACAGTCCCCAGAGTGAGTGTGAGTGTATGTGAGCGCGCGCCAGAGCGCGGGCCTGGCCATGGGCGGGCACCTCTCACGGTGTCCGGCCTCCGCCCGCACGGTGGGTGTGCGGGCCGCCGGCGTTCTCAGCAGAGCGGGACCAGTTTCCTCGTAAGCGACCAGAGCCGCTTCTCCAAGGAAGTGCTGCCCCAGTACTTCAAACACAGCAACATGGCGAGCTTTGTGCGGCAACTCAACATGTGTGAGTCCCTAGTGCTGGGCGGGAAGCGGGGGTGGAGGACCTGGTGCCCTCCGGGATGGGGCAATTTACGACCCCACACCCCACTCCCTAGATGGTTTTCGGAAAGTGGTGAGCATCGAGCAAGGCGGCCTGCTCAGGCCTGAGCGCGACCACGTCGAGTTCCAGCACCCGAGCTTCATGCGCGGCCGCGAGCAACTACTGGAACGCGTGCGGCGCAAGGTGGGGCGGCATGTAGGAACCAGCAAACTTGGGTGAGGGTGTTAGGACGGCTGTCCCTGTTCTATTCGACTCAGGCCCGACAGTGCCTCCCACCTGCAGGTGTCTGCGCTGCGCAGCGACGACGGCCGCTGGCGCCCGGAGGACCTGGGCCGGCTGCTGAGCGAGGTGCAGGCCTTGCGGGGAGTACAGGAGAGCACCGAAGCACGGCTGCGGGAGCTCAGGCAGTGCGGGGGAAGGGCAGGGAGGGGGCAGGGGGGTCTGGGAGAGATGACACTAGCCGCCAGGCGGTTTTGGACAGCTCCCTCTCTCATGCTTTGGCGCCTCCATCCAAACAAATGGGCTAAGCTGTAGAACTCTGTTCTCAGTGGATGATTATCCTGGTGGTCGCATGTTGGGGCCTGCCATTCTGTGGGGGGTGGTGACTGGGCGAATTCTCAGATGTCTCAGCACCCTCCCACGCCTTCCCCCAGGCAGAACGAGATCTTATGGAGGGAGGTGGTGTCGCTGCGGCAGAGCCATGGTCAGCAGCACCGAGTCATTGGCAAGGTGTTTCTCTCCCCCCACCCCACTTCTCTCTCCTACCCCTGAATATCCTCCTCCCTCAGTCCTCTAACCTACCTGGAAATGCCGTGTTAAGGTGGGGGCAAGGTCCAAAGGATGAATTAACCCTTTACCTCCTCTTCAGCTGATCCAGTGCCTCTTTGGGCCACTTCAGGGAGGGTCCAGCAGTGCAGGAGCTAAGAGAAAGCTGTAAGTGAGAAAGCCAGGGACACTCACTCTCCCCACCCCCTCTTTCAACACTCTTCCTGCTGGAGTCCCCATACAGGGACTCCCTCTCCAGAAAACTCTTCATCAAGAATCCTCATTCTCACCCCTTCCACCAGTCTTCCTCACCCCATAGCCATGTCCCCAAGAGCCCCCTTTCAGGACTTTTCCTCTCTCCTCCAATTTCACCACCAACCCCCCCACTCTCAGATCCCTCAGTTCCAGGATCTTATCCCCAAATTTCTACCTCAGCAGGCTCTTTCCCCTCAACCCAAAGCATCCCAACGTCAGAGGGTCTGGGGCTCAAGTCAGGCTCCCTCCCTCCTCTTTCTAACCCCAAAGGGCCTCCACCTCTGGGGGGAGCCCCTTCTGCCTCCAACATGTGACTGATGCCCTGGCAACTGGCCTCAGCTCTGCTGACTTGGCTGCTGGGGCCTGTGGGAGGGAGGTGGTGCAGGCTAAGGGGCATGGGAGATGAACCTGCCCAGCCCCCTGCCTGTGCCCCTCCCCCCTGCACAGGTCCCTGATGCTGGATGAGGGGAGCTCATGTCCAACACCGGCCAAATTCAGTGCCTGCCCCCTACCTGGTGCCCTCCTGCAGGACCCCTACTTTATCCAGTCGGTAGGTTTTGCTTCTCCTCCCTTCCCTAGGGTACCCTTGAGCTTATGAAGCATGTATTCCTTTCTATTCCCCCAAAAGAAGAGAAAATGGAGGCCAGCCTCTCCCCTCTCTCCCCTCACACCAGACCAGGCTCCCCGGCGTGGACTTCAAACCTTCCCCTTTAGACCTGGTCCATGTGGGTACTGGTTGGGTTCTGACTCACATTGCGGCTTCAGATGAAGGGCAGGGCCTAGTGTTCTACTTACAGCCTCTCCCAGAGACCACCTTGAGCCTCAGCAGCCCTTACAGGGCCAGGAACCCCATCATCTCTGACATTCTGGAAGACTCCCCATTCCCTGAAGGGACCGGGCTTTCTCTCTCCAGTGGTGGCAAAAGGTAAGAGGGACAGACAGGGGCAGCCCTCTGGGGAGCTTGTGGGGAAGGGCCTGGCAGCACAGATGGCTGTAGGGGAGACGTCAGTGCCTGGGTCTGGCTGAAGCTTTTCTTTGGTGCAGGGAGAAGGGCCTGACACTGCTCAAAGAGGAGCCAGCCAGCCCAGCAGGGGAAGACAAGGCTGGGCTGGCCCAGGCCCCAAATGAGTGTGACTTCTGCGTGACAGTCCCCCCACCGCTGCCTGTGGCTGCGGTACAAGCCATCCTGGAAGGGAAAGGGAGCTTTAGCCCTGAGGGGCCCAGGAATGCCCAACAGCCTGAACCAAGGGGTCCCAGGGAGGTATCTGGCAGGTGAGCAGCGAGCCCATTCTTGACTGTGAGCCCTGTGGTCCACTTTTGCAGTTAGACCAGCACTAACTAGTCCCCTGAAACTTCTCAGCCTTGTCTGTCCCTTGGTGGCTGGGGGGATGTTGGGCACTATTATCTGACCTGATTTCTCAGAGTTGCTCTAAGGAGTACCAGCCTCAGAGGTCCTGGAAAGTGGAAACATCAATGTGGTGGGGCACAGGAATCTGCATTTTAAATGAGTTTATTGGGATGGTTATAAAGATTGTAAAGTACACATCAGTTTAAGAAGCACTGGTATTGACAATTGCATAGGGAGGGGACATATCCCAAGATATATCCCCAAACCTTAGGCCAAAGGTAGGAAGCAGAGGCACTTTTTTTAAAGAAGTCATTGTGAACTTTGGGGGTTGTTTTTAGATTTTACTGGGGAAATGGGGAAGGAAACAGTGTTGAGGAATCGGGGAAGGGGAATATTGTGTTTTTCCAGGACCCATCAGCTCCAAGTCAAGTTGTTGTCCTTCAATCTTAGTTGTGGAGGGTGCAAGCTCAGCTCCAAGTCCAGTTGCAGCTTTCAATCTAGTTGGGAGTGGTGGCACAGCCCACCATCCCATGTGGATGTCGAACTGGCACCTTGTTGTTAAGAGGTTGCACTCTCACCAGCTGAGCCACCCGGCTGGCCCTCGAGGAACTCTTATGTGCCCCTCTGTGTGTGTGTGTGTGTGTGTGTGTGTGTGTGTGTGTGTGTGTGTGTGTGTGTAGGGTCCTTTCCTAGCATTTTTTATATATTGTCAGATTTAGATCCTAATGTCTCCAGGTTCCTTGGGAACCTAATTGGGTGGGGAGTACTGCAAGCCAATAGCAGTTCTCTGTACACAGGGGGCCTCTGGGCCTGGAGAAGCGGGGCCAGAGCCCAGAGAGTCTGCTGTTTCCAATGCTACTTCGGGCCCCTCCTGAAAATGTGGAGCCTGCAGGGCCCCTGGATGTGAGTACACCCTCAGCAAGCAGAAGCATGGTAATTGGTGGGGTTCAGCTGTTTCTGCAGCCTGGGGAAGGCACCACTGACCCAGAACTCCCCCCAGGTACTGGGCCCCAGCCTCCAAGGGCAGGAATGGACCCTGATGGACTTGGACATGGAGCTTTCTCTGGTAAAATGAGGACGGTGAGGGAGGAGGTTAGGGAGTTAGGGGTTGCTGAGCCAAGCCCTTTGGTCCATGGCTGTTTTTTCTCAGCCAGAGCCCCAGCTCTCCTCCCCAGCTGCTTCCTGGGGTTCTCTTATGCAGATGCAGCCCTTGGTTCCAGAGAAGGGTGAGACTGAGCCGGCGGTCAAGGGGTTAAGTTCTCCAGGCCCAGGTAATGGTAGTGGTGACTCAGGACCTGAGGGAGGCTCTGAATGACCTGTGCTACCATGATTGGGTAGGCTGGGCTATTTGTGTTTTGAGGGACATCAGTTCAGGCTGCCCTGTAGAGAGCTACTTAAGCCACCCATCCCCTCGCTACTGGATGAGTGTGGGGAGGTTGAGAAATGATGTTTCATCCTAATGTACTAGATGGCAAGGCAGGTGAGGCTCTCCTTTCCTAAAGAAAGGAGGGGGAACCAAGGAGGGGGAACTGTTTCTCCCTCCTGAGTACAGCCTCACTCCTCCTAGGGAAGGACTCCACTCTTGGGGCACCATTCCTGCTGGACGTCCAAGAGGCTTTGGGAAGCCCAGCTCTCGGCCTGCCTGGAGCTTTAACCATTTACAGCACCCCTGAGAGCCCGGCCTCCTACCTGGGCCAGGGCGCTGATCCCTCCCCCTGAGATGCTCTCCACTTTGAAGCCAACCTGATTGAGGGGCTGGCCTGCAGCCGCAGATCCTTCTCGGCTTCCTGGCGCCCCCTATCAGAGGCTGAGCCAAGACCCTACTTATTCGGTGGTCCCTTTCCATTACCAAGTCCTGCACATAAACCGCATTTTTTTCTGTGTTTTTGGTCTCTTTTCTGTACCGACCAGGGAGCACAAAAGTCATGGGTGGGTGGGGGCTACTTTGTATTTGTACTAGCATCCAGATCCTAGGGCTTTAATGGAGAAACCCCTGGAGAGTGGAGTGCTTGGGGAGCCTGCTTCTAGTTCTCCTTCTTAGGCCGATCCTCCGTCCCGGATCCAAGGCTGGTGTGTGGCCACTGCAACCTCCGGGAAGTGGAGGCTCAGGGGTTCACACGCAGCTCCGCAATGCATTATCCTGGGTAAACTGGTCCCCTTCTCTGAGCCTTATCTGTAACAGATAAAGAGGGGTCTACAAGAAGTTAGGAGTAAAGCACCTGGGAATTGCCAGGCGCAGAGTAAGTGCTGGGTACGTGGAGCCGGGGTCGTGGGCCGCATTGCCCCCTCGCTGACTCATCCAGTGTGCCCCGGGTGGGGAGAGAAAGCGAACCATGTGTAAGAGCCCAGGCAAAGCACGGCCTCGGGCGACCTGCCTCCTACCGCTGGGAGAACAGCCCGCTCTCCCCCACCCACTCCGGGTTCCCAGCATCCCTGGCCGCCTCGTCATCTCCTGCCCCGCCAAGGCCCGACCCGTAAGTGGGGCCGCCGGGAGCTCACCGGACCGGGAGCCCCATTCCACACGGCTGGGGCAGAGAAAAGAAACTGAGATTGGGCAGAATCTGCGCCCTTAACAGCCGCGCTACTAGGAGGTCTGTGAGCCCCGCCCCTCCGCGGGACTAACTCTGGGACCAAGTGGAGGGGAGAAAAGGGGAGCCTGTGGTCGCACCTGTGCAAAGGTTCCCGCAGTTTCCCACAACCCTCGCTCCCTAACAAGAGTCCGCGCAGCCAGGTGGGGAGGGGCGCTGGGACCCCCGCCCCCTCCACGCCTCGAACCTGGAGCTGCCTGGTGTCCTGGGAAGGATCTGGCCTGTGACCCTTGAAGGACTGGTGGCGATATAATTTGGTACAGTATTTACTTCTGAACATTGAGTCTCAGAGGGAGGGCCCAGACCATCTGGGGTTTCTGTGCCCAAGATAGGACAAAGGACAGGACTTGGCATAATGGGAAGAGGAGGCTAACATAAAAATAACTTGGAGAAGAGTGAGGGAGGATGAGGGACTAATCCGATCTGCCCCCTCCCTCTCTGCACCTGTACAAGAGTAGGTTCTGTTCCCTCACCCTTCTTGCACCCCTGATTTGGGGGGAAGTCTTTGGAAGCCTTAGCTTTCAAAACAGGGGAGAGAGTCCGCATATACACAGTGCAGTACTGTCAGCACAGTGATAAGGTATATGCTGTTCACTGGTGTAATAGGAGATGAGATGGAACCAGTCTGCCTATGACACACTTAGGTATTGGAATGGATACATGGACATTTGGGTCTTGGAGGATGGGTCCCCAGCATGGAGGGAGGGGGACTGTATTCTAGGCTTAGGGAACAGCATCTGCAAAGATTCAGAAGTACCAGGGGCTTGGCGAGTTCTTCCAGCACTGAGTGATGGAGGAAAGTGGGGGGAAGCCTGTCTATCCAGAGGTGTGGGAGAGCAGCCAGTCCAGATAGTCTGAATTCTCTCTGATGGGCAGTGGGGAGCAGGGGACAGGTAGTTAGGGCTGACATTATGCTTGGCTGGAGATCTCATTGTAGTTCAGGCTGGAGCAAGTCAGATTATAGTTCTGCCACTTGGCCTCTCTGAGCCTGTCTTCTCATCTGTAAAATGTGGACAATAAATCCTGCTCCAGAGAATTGTCAAAATCACTCTACTGTCAGGGTAATGAGATCCAAGTGAGAGGTACTCAGAGAGACTCTCATAGGAGATGAGGTGATCATGGGGGTTGGGGGGGTGATGATAGAGACTCACTGAGAGTTAGAAGAGCAGTATTTGTCACAGATAGGACAAGAATGGAGAGGGAGGGGCAGGAGGTACTCCTAGCCTCTGATCAGTGGCCTGGGGGAATATGGCCAGAGGGGGGTGAAATGACCAGGGAGGCATAACATGACACCAGGTGGTAGTGAGAGAGACTTGGGAGGCAGGATGGGGGCTAGGACCAAATCCATTCTCCCAGACCTAGAGCCAAGTAAGGAGGTAGAGGAGGGACCCCAAAGGGAGGATGAGACCAGGAGGGTGCTATGAGGACAAAGCCAAGGCTGGAGGAAATGCACTGAGAGAGGGAGTGGTACTGGGGCTGACCTCTTTGCCCCTTAATGCCAGGAGCCTGGCTGCCTGGATCAGGCCACCCAAGAGGAGATGGGCCATTGTCCTTAGCTGTCAATAAATGGACAGAGCAGGTTAATTTCTGCCAACACCTGCTGTTTGGTAGAGACAGTCTTTCAAAATGGGAGGATCCATGGGGGAAAACAGTGAAAGTTTGGCAAGCATTTGTTGGTAGCTTTTATGAGTTGGGCCCTGGGTACAAGATGAAGCAAGCGATGGCTGTGAGTCATTCCCAGGGCAGCAGGGAGACAGTTGAGTCTCAGGTGATGTCAGAAAATCTTGGTCAGAGCTAGGACTCAAAAGAATTTAGGTATCCTGCTCAGGTATTAGGGAACCAGGAAGGGCCATGCTAATATATTGGGGTTGCAACACGGTGGTGGCCTTAGTGGGAGGAGCAGGGGCAGGGCCTGTCCTGGAAAGATAGACCTCAGGGTCAGGATAAAAGGTCTGGACTTCTTTTGGGTTAGAGCAGCAGGGGAGGCTCTCAGCACTTTGTGCTCTGGGTGCAGAGGGGATTCAGGGGTCTGCAGAGTCTACCCTGGAGATGAAAGGCTAAAGAGGTGAGGATGACAGAGATTTTTTATTCAGCAGATAGAATAGAAAGGACTTTACTGCAAGCTGGGTGTGGGCCTTTGCCTGTTAAAGTGGGAAAGAGAAGTTAGTTTGGATAAATTGGGTCCGAACAGATCGCGGCATCTGCAGGCAGCTGGGGCTCAGGAGGGAGGTCCTGGTTGGTGAGAGCGGTCAGAGAGATGGATAAGGGTCCTGGGAGAGTGGAGGAGAGGAGGGCCACAGCTGACGTTTAGGGACCCAAGGAGCAGCCTGAGGAGACTGGACAGAAAAGGCCGGAGAGGCAGGAATACGAGGAGTCCGGTGCTGCGGAGTTGTCCCGCTGCTTGGGTTGAGGTGAACTTAAGACTCCAGCCACCAGTGTTCTCTAAGGCCCTGGGAGAAAGGTCAAGGGCGGGGGAGCTTTGGCCCCCACTACCTCTTTCCTCCTCCCCCAGGCAGCCCCGACTATGGGCAACGCGCAGGAGAGGCCGTCAGAGACGATCGACCGCGAACGGAAACGCCTGGTAGAGACGCTGCAGGCGGACTCTGGACTGCTGCTGGATGCTCTGCTGGCGCGGGGTGTGCTCACCGGGCCCGAGTACGAGGCGTTGGACGCGCTGCCTGATGCAGAGCGCAGGGTGCGCCGTCTGCTGTTGGTGGTGCAGAGTAAGGGCGAGGCCGCCTGCCAGGAGCTGCTGCGTTGCGCCCAGCGGACAGCGCGCGCGCCCGACCCCACCTGGGACTGGCAGCACGTGGGCACTGGTGAGAGTGCGCTGGGCAAGACCTAGGTCAGAGTAGGGGGCGTGGCGGGGGCGGAGTCCTAGTCTTCTGTAGAGATGGCGTGTGCACGGGAAACTGCAAACCGGTATGTTGAGCTTGAGACGGTTCCACCTCTGCCCCAGGCTACCGGGAACGAAGTTACGACCCTCCATGCCCAGGCCACTGGACGCCCGAGGCAGCCAGCTCGGGAACCCCATGCCCTGGGCTGCCCAGAGCTTCACACTGCGATGAGGCCGGAGGTCCTGAGGGCTCTGAAGCAGTGCAGTCCGTAACCCTCGAGGAGTTTGAGCCAGAGGTGGAAGCTGAGGACACTGAAGGGGCTGAGCCCTCTGAAGGGACTGAGGCAGAGGTGGAACCACAAATGGATCCGAATCCAGAGCCAGAGCCAGAACCAGAGCCGGAGGCAGAACCAGAGCCTGAACTGGAGCCAGAGCCTGAACTGGAGCCCGAGCCCGAGCCAGACTTTGAGGAGGGGAATGAGTCTGAAGGTGTGAGGCTGCCCAAACCCAGTGCCAGGCTGGAGGGAGGACATGGCCCATGAGGCAGAGGGCGGGCTCCAACTGACTGACCACTTTCCCCCTTTATCTCTAGATTCCTGAAGACCAGAGTGCTGACAGGCTGCTCCCTGCCCAAGCCGGATAGGACCTGGGATCCTGCACTGGCAGGATGGGATGCCACCAAGGCTCTGCCTGGCCCAGTATTCACTGGAAGTGAATAAACTCCTGAGGGACGACCTGGGCTATCTGTGATTCTGGCTGTTTGCCCAGGAACTACGGTGTGGATTTGTGCTCTGAGTTCTAGTGACCTGGGCAGCCCTGTCCTCAGTCCTCACCACTCAGTCCTCAGCCCTATTTCATCAATAGCTCAAGTTGCATCCCTAGGGGACGAGGGTCTGACCTGGGCCCTCTTAACTTCCTGAACCATTTGGGGGCATGTGTGGTCACCAGCCTTACTTCATGGAAGCCCCTGGGCCTGGCACAGAGAGCCAGAGAAAAGGGACTTCTTTCCACTTAGGGAGGGCTAGCGCTCACAGCATTGGGAAGTGAGATTAGGAGAGAGAAAAAGGAAGGGATCTTTGGTAGACAGAGACCACACACTTCACTGTAATTGTTTTAATTGTCTGGCTTTTCTCAGGACTGGGAGTTCAGAGAGGGTTCTGACCAGTGACTGGCACACAGAAGGCGCTCTATGCATATTCACTGACTAAATGAATAAGGACTTTCCAGTTGCATTTCCAAGTTTTACAGATGGGAAAACTAATGCCATGAGTGGGAGTGGGACTAGGTCAATCTCACACAGCCCAGTCTGAAGTGAAACTGGAGGCAACCACAATCTCTGCATCTCTCCTGGTCCAGGATGGACTCAGGACTTGGAACAGAAACTAGGGGCCTGCCCCTCAGGCTTGATTGTGGCTGTAGCCAGGCTATGCCAACCTCTGCCAGAGACCAGCTGTGAGGGTGTGGGCAAAGACAAGGACAGCAGAGGAGGGGATGGGGGGCAAGGCCAAGTGAGCGCTCAGACTCCACTCACAGGACCTAAAGGGAGGGGGGCGGAGAGCGAGAGGTATGCTAGGAATAGTCGGTGCCTTCCAGAGGAGTCCTCTTCTTCCCTCCCACCAAACCTTCAGAAGCTGCTGCCTCCCAGCCCCAGGAAGCACAACACATAAAAAGGGAAGGAATACATGACCAGTAGGAGAGGCTAAATGCTGGAAAGCATATCCCAGCCCAGCTGGGTCTCTAACTACCAGGACCCCTGCCCCTTGAGTCTGTGTGAAAGCCAGGACCTTAGGCTCAGGCAATCACCCCAGGAGAAGGGAGATCCCCACCACCAGGACCCAGTGAGAGGTAGACAGCATGAAAGCTGAAGGAGCACCAAGGGGCCAGGTGGGGGAAGGGAGACTGGAGGACACAGATACCCAAAGTCATCTCATGCAAGAACAAGTTTCTACTCCCAAGTCACTCCCCATCCCTATCCATGCTCACCTTCCCTGCTGCCCCCGGCCCTCCCCTCCGCTCCACAGACAAAAGGAGGAGGGCAGACTCAGTTTGCCTGACATGCTGCTGGTCCCCAGGCCCCTGGAGGCTAGCAAGGGACACAAACCCACTAATGTTGCTACTCCTCCCTCCTGAGATGCTCCTGCCCTTCCAGTTCCCCAAGAAACACCCAGGCCATGGAAGCACAGAGCATCCAGCTTCGTGTTCTGGCAGCTGATACGGGGCCCTCTGTAGCCCTCAACCAGCATCAGTCAGGCAGCAGGCGGCCCAGCTCTGCTTCATCCAGCCGGTTGGTAGCCATGATATGCTCCAGCTGCTGCCGATAGCGTGCCAGGTCCTGCATGAAGTGGGGCACCCGGGTATTGTCCAGTATCCCATGGGGCCGCAGGTGGTCTACATCCTCATAGGACACCTGCAGAGAGGAAGCTGGACCTGAGGGGGAGGCAGGAGCCCTGGTTTTCAGACAGCTGGTCCCAGCTCTCTACCAAGGGCTCATTGCCCGTTGCTCCTGGAACTCTTGCCTTCCCCTTCCTGATTCACTCCCAATGTTATATACCTGGAGGCTCAGTCCTGGGTGTTCACGCTTTCTCTCAATACTTTTATCATCTATGCCCTACAATCCCCTCCTGTCTCTTGCTTAGCTTCTCCCCTCACCTCCAAACCTTGGTGTCCAACTGCCTTCTGAACACCTTCCCCTGGATAGCTTTCAGGCACCTTAGATTTCCCATATCCAACAGTGAATTCCTAGGTGTCACCTTATGCCAGCTCCACCCTCCTCCCAGTCTCCTAGGTCAGATTCCAGGGAGGGGCCCTGGATTCTGCGATCCTCCCACTCAGGGTCACCCCTGAGTTCTAGGAATTCCACTCTCTGAAGAGCTCTCCCGCTTGCCCTCCCTCTCCATCAGTTCTACAGGAGTGACTGGAAAGACCTCTTCCTCTTCCCCCTGCACTTTCTTCCCTAAGTCCCGCTCTCTAATCCACCTCCCATATGACATCCAGAAGGAGCCTTCTAAAGCAAACATCTGTGCTGAAAGCTCCTCTGCTTTCCCATTGCTTCAGGTGAAGTTCACCTTCCTCAGCCTGGCGCAAATACCCAGTGCCAGGGACTTGATCCCCGGCCATTTCTCTAGCCTCTTTCCCCAGGCCTTCCTGACTGCTTCTTTGGCCTGGATACCATCTTTGAGATGCAGTATCTACACACACACACCTGCAAGTCAGATCAAGCACCTGCAAGACTGTCATTTCATTTCCTGTGTCATCAGAGAGGCCTGGTATCCAGGACTCAGTCAAGCATCCATCAGAGGATCAGGGAATACTGCGATGAGGAGAGCTTGCTGGGACCTATGAAGTCCCGTGGTCCGCCACTCACCTTGCCCAGAGAGGTCAGCAGCGGGAAATCGATGGTCTGGCGGTGCCGCAGAATGCGCACGATGCCGTCCAGGTACACCTGGTCCTTGCTGAAGCAGCCTGTGGGCACGGGGACACCATGAGCCCCTACACCTGAAGCCACCCCTGTCCCCAGCCCCAACTCAGGGCACTTCCCCGAGTAGGCACCCACCTGGCAGTGAGGTGTCAGTCTGGCCGCGCTTGGCCCGCACGCAGTACTCCCAGCGCACATCAGCGTCCTGCACGTAGCGCGCCAGGTCCTGGAAAAGCTGGCGGAAGGACATGCGCGCAGCACGATGGATGGTGTAGTAGAGCAGTGCTGCGCGCCACAGGAAGGGCTGCTTGCGGAACAGCACGCTGTGCAGGCTGGCCAGGCCCTCCTCGGTGGGATTCGCTGGCCGCAGCCCGTACTGCAGCCGGCCCTCGGCGTTGTGCCACGGCTGCCGCGCATTGTTCACACCCCGCAGGTAGTGCGTGCCTGTGGGAGAGCGAGGGGGAGGCAGTGCTGGGCGGGGCATCCCAGGACCCACCCTGCTGCACCTCTAGCCAGTGACTCAGGCTCTCACACAAGCCCTCTCCGCCACCCCTGCCCCAACCTGCATACTCACCCAACCTCAGGCAGCATGAAGACCCTCCTGGGGTGAATTCGCAGTCAAGGACCCATAGAGTTTCACATACAAGAATCCTTCCTCACCTGTCCAGGGCTACACACACACACACACACACACACGCACGCACGCACACACACACACCTCCCAAACTTACACTGCTTTCCAGCCCCCCAGAGAGGAGCAGGAACTCACACACCACCCCAGCCCCGCATTCTGCACACCCATATCATTTTGATAGTCATACTGATGTCCCCATCAAAAACCATCTTTGGTCCACAGCAACAGGATTCTTGATGAAGGGGGATAGACAGAATAGTAATTATTGTCCTGTGCTCTCCTTTCCAGCCTGGCCTATCGGCTCCTAAACCTAGCTCTGTGTGTCCTCAGCCAATTCCATTACCACCCTGGAGGGCCTGTGTGTTGGCTGGGCTAGTGGGACCGTCAGGGTTCTCCCTCTGCCCTGTTGGGGCCTCAGCAGCTTTGTCCCTACTGTCAAGGAAAATCAGAGAGGAAGAGGAAGGAGAAAAAGATACCCAAGAAGAGTGAGAGATGAGGATGAGCCCAGAGAGTGAGCAGGCACGTTTGGGCCTACCTCTGTGAGCCAGAGGGAAGAGGTGACTGCTCACGAAGAGACAGGGCCCATCCTCGAAGGGAATGGGGTGAAAGAGAAGGGGTGGAGTTACTGGGGCCCCTCACTGCCCCCCACACCCCAGTCCCCTCTTTACCCCTACCCACCCACCCACCTACCCACACCCTGACCTATCTCGTGCCGCAGCATGCCCTCCAGCCAATACTGGCGGGCTCCAGTCAGGTTGATGGCCAGTGTTGGTCGGCTATTCTCCACCATCATCACTGCCTGGGACAGCAGATCTTCACTCAGCTGCACCACAACCTGCAGGCAGCAGCAGTACCCTGAGCCATGGCTACCAGCCCTAGGGCCAGTGTGCAGGTGGACCCACTAATGCCACAGTGCAACCAGGCTGGACATTTGGCCAGTATACCCACCCTTTACCATCTCTGCTCAGAGCCAGCTCCCACCTTATTGGGCCAGGACAGGGGTTTGCCAGGGATCACTAGCTGGCCAGGTATGGAGCTGGGCCTGGCACCACCCACTGGGTAGCCTAGTTTGGGGCATGTAGAAGAGGGGCCTTGCAGGCAGGGCAAGCTCACCTCCCCAACGCAGCCCTCCTTCTGCATGTATTTGCGAACAATGGACCAGATCTGGCACTTGGTCAGTAGCTGGCCCCCGGTTGCAGCCTCAAAGTGTTCATAGGTGCCAAACTTCTCCAAGACAGCTTCAATGATGCCAACTGCCTGCACACAGGGCCGCAGTGGCTGGTCAGGCTAGGCCTCTTGGGTGGTCAGGGCCAGGGTGAGGTGGGCAGGCTGGACTGACCTGATGGATGAACTGTCCAGAGGCCTCACAGTACTTCTCCAACACAGCTGTAGGCATAGGCTCCTGGTACTCGAACTGTGGGTTGTAGGTGTAATGGGACTGGAAGAACTTGTCCCGCTCATGGTCCATGTTGGTTGGCCGCAGGGCCACCAACATGCAGGGGCTCCTGCTGGCACCACGGCCTACATCCTTTCGAGTCTTAGCAATGTGAGGCAGGGAGGCTGCAGACCGCAGGGTGCCCCCACCTGGCTTCCGTCCTCGTCCAGGTGGGGCCTGGCTCTGGGTGCTGCCCCCCCGCCGGCCAGTACTATTTACGGTGTAGGTGCTCTCACTGCGACGCATGTGGCCACGGTGGCCCAAGCGCACCTCTGAGAAGGACTGCTGCTCAGGCCGGGGTTGCAGGGCTGAGGAGACTGACAGAGCCAGGGGCAAGGCCAGGGACTGAGGCCAGGGGTACAGCGGTGTCCCATCTCGGTCTGAGGGCTTCAGCCTACGGCCCAAGGATGAGGGACTGGCTGGTGGGCTGGGGGGTGCCTGCTCATACACCTGAGCCCCTGAGTCCAACACCATTCTGTCTTGGGGGTCACATCCAGCTTGGCCACTCCAACTCCCCACACTGTCGTCTTCTGGGGACACAGAAGGGCATGTGGAGGACAGCATGAGTCGGTGTGGCCTGAGGACCAGGAGGCCCTGTGTTCCACACTGCCCTTGCCGGGTCCCCAGGAGTCTGCGTGCCTGCCCTCTCAACCCCAACGTCCATTCCCTCCAGCAGGCTCAGTCAAGCAAGCTGGACTGGGAGAAAGCAGGAGGAAGAATTTTATACACCCACCTAGATGGTGGTTCCTGGAATACCCTTTAGCCTGTGAGGTCCTGATAGCAAGGCATGAGCCCATACTCATGATTCTAATCCCTGTGTACAGCACTCACCCATGCTGGAAGCTGGTACAATGTAGCTTCAGCTGTTGGGTTGATGGTAGGGGGCCTCACTACCTTCCACCTGCTTTCCACCTATGGCATTTTTTATTTCCACACCTTCTCCTCCCACCTGGCTCCACCCACTTCCTCCAGACCATTTGGTGTCAGTCAGTTTGAATGCCTCCATGCCCCTTGCTTATGTTAGTCCCTCCACCTGGAATGCTGTCTCTCCACTGGGCCATCTGTTCAAATCCAATTTAGAATCAGCTTTTGGGGGGCAGATGGAAACTTCAGCAAATCCAAGCTAATCCCTGGTCTGTCTCCTATCAGAAGCATCTATCTTTCTAGTTGGTCAGGGCACTTAACTCTGACTCTGCACCAGGGCTCAGTCCAATCCAGTCTTTCTCCAGAGACTGACTGAAGGCTCCAGGTTCTGAACTCTCTTACCTGCTCAGGGACACAATTAGAGCATTTCTCCTCTCTCCTATATCTCCTACATCATCAAACCTTTCCTCTCTGCTGGATTCTTTCCATCAGCATAAACACATGTTGTCATTTCTCTGTCTTAAAAAAACAAAACAAAACCCTCACTTGACCCCACACTCCTCCAGCAATAGCACCACTCCCTCTAGCTGCTCCTCACTGCAGCACATATCAAGAGTCATCTATACTCATTGTCCATTTCCTTCTTTCCTGTTCTCTCTCAAATTTCACTCGTTAGGCTTTCCCCCACCCCCAATCTCTATTGAAACTGATCTGACCAAGGTCATCAATGATTTTCATGCTCTTGTCACAGTTAATCACTTCATCCACTTGGCTCCCCAAATCTCCTACCTCACTAACTGTTTGTTCTTGTTCTTCCTTGCTGGTCATCCCTATCTTCCTGACCTCTTAACACTGTAATGCCCGAGGACTTGGAAACTTCTCTTCTCTTTTCCATTTATGCTCACTCCCTGGATAATCTCATCCACTCTCAAGGTTTTAAAACCATCAGCCCAGACTTCCTCCATAAACTTCAGACCAGTGTTGCCAGTTCTCAACTCAACATCTTTACTGGAATATATAACAGGCATGTCAAACTGAACACATCCTCTGTCTGGAATGTTTTCCCTCCATATAACTGCAGGATTCACTCTCATTTTCTTCTCATTTCTGCACAAATATTAGAAAAGCCTCCCTAAAACATTCTCTATAAAATAGTAAATCTTCTCTCTCCTCTCCACCACAATCTCCCCTTCCCCACATTATTGTTCTCTGTAGCAGCTGTCACCATCTGAAGTACAGTATATTTGTTAGTTATCTGTTTTCTCCTTTTGAGTGTTCAGTGTGTTCCCAGAACCCAGAACAGTACCTGACCCAGAGCAGTTGCTTAAGAGCCCTTCTGCTTCTCAAAATTGGAATCCTTCCTTCCTTCCTTGCACTGTTTCCCCATCTAGATCTGATCCCTTCCTCCCCCCCCCCCCACTTCCTTCTACCAGCCTAGGGACCAGCTGATTGAAAAGATTTCCGGCCTTAAGCTGCACTCCCCTCAACTAACTGTACACTTTCCTGGACTCCTCCCTATCTTCCCAGCCTCTAACTGGACCAGACCCTTCATCTTTCCTTCTTGCCTTCCACCTACCTCTTCACAATTACCAGACTACGCCTATTTCTTTCAAGTCTCAGGTCCTTCTGAGAAGAATGCCCTCCCAGTGTCTCCCTGGAGTAAACCTAACCATTTTCAGGGCTTGGGTTAGGCCTCACCTCCTCCGGGAAGCCTTCCAGGATTCTTAGAGGTTCCCAGTGCCTAGGCGGCCTCTATACCGCCCTAGGCTGTCATTGACATAGCCTAGGTCCGTGTCCCCCCATCATCCCCTGAACTCCCTGAAGGCAGGGACGGGTCTGATTCACCCCATTGTCTCGAACACCCAGCTCTAGATGCAGAATGAATGAAAGATGGCTGGGGGAGGAACCCAGACTGAAGGCGGGGTCTGGTGACAAGTGAGAGGGTGTGGCCTGTGCCAATAGGAAACACGGGGATTGGAAGAGGAGCCAATGGGGATGGGGAGATCGAAGAGGGGCGTGACCTGCAGCCAATAAGCAGAGGGGGATGAGGCAAAGAGCGTGCCCAATGGAGGGCGGGGCCAGAGGACAATGAAGGGGGGAATTCCCTGATAGGTAAGGCGGGGTCGCATCGCGCGCCTTCTCGGCCTCTTGGGGATGAAAGGGTTCCGTGCCGCACCCCCACCTGTTCGCCGCTCTTTTCGCCGACGCCGTTCCCCCTCTGAAATACCGGTCGCGGGCCTCCTGGCCCGCGGGAGTTGTCGCCGAGAACCCACGCACTCGGGCGCGCGCACGCTCACGCGAAGGCGCGCGGATTCGCGTCAATCTCCGCAGCGGCGCGCGCCCGAGAACACAGCTGTGGGTGGGGCCAGGCAGGGCAGAGGGACGTTGTCCGCCGCTAGATCACGTCTATTGTCTTGATCCCTCCCTCTCCACAAGGGCCAGGCTGGTTTCAGGACTTCATTTGGTACCCGGCCTTGGAGTCAGGGCCAGGGAGACACGAACTCACTGCCCCGGAACGGATACATGGGGATGTAGTCCGCGTAAGGTGGCAGAAGCCCGGGTACTTGGGCATTGATTCAGGGATAAGTGGGGTACAGCGGGTAGATCGGTGTATCAGGACTGGAGCCAGGATATCTTAGGTGTGTCACTGCGTGTGGACCCCCTAATCTTCACGGACACTTATTTCACCCTCCTCCCTTCCCCAGCACACACAATTCAGGCATACAGGGGCCGTGTACGCTGCTGTATTCAGGGGCTTTATTCTGCTGGCAGTCGGGAGTCAGGCACAGGGTCCCGAGGGAAGGCAGGAGGATGGAGCGGGGGTAGGTGTTGGCACAAGGCTGAAGAGTGCGCGGCGACCCGCGGAGGGCGATGGCTGAGGGCCGGCCTGCAGTGAGCTGAGTGCAGCTAGGCGCTGCTCTCGGGACACGTCCCCGCGCAGGTCCAAGAGGGCGGAGACGTGATCCTCACTACAGGGAACCACAGAGGTGCGTCAGCCCCGCCCAGTCCTTCCCAGTTCCCTCCTTCCTTCCCGCCCCCATCTTCGCACCTCACGTCAGGAAATTGTTGCCGCAGGCCTGCCACCTCCAGGCCAAGCATCGTGGGATCGCGGAGGTTCAGCAGCTTTCTCAGGGTGAGCAGCACTGACGCACATTGAAAGCTTTCCTCCAGGCCCTGAACACGTCGGGGTAGGTCTTGCACGGGCCCTCAACTCCCACCCAACCACTGAGACTCCCACCCATCTGCTCGCCCAACAAGCTCTCACCAAATTGAGGAAAAGATCCTGGAGCTTGGCGGCATCGTGCTGCAGGCGCTCGGCAGCCTGGTTCCGCTCATCGGCACCACGGCACACTAGGCGGCCCTGCATTAGCGCACACAGGTACTGCAGAACCACGGTACGCTCAGCCTCTGCCAGCAGCAGCTGCGGAGAGGGCAATCAGGTGGGTCCTGGAACCCTTTCCCATTGGAGCTTTCCCTAACCCTCCTTCCCCCCAAGTCGCACCTGGACCGCTGGATTCCGCACACGCCAGAAATCCCGGCAGAAGCGCGCGGTCCGCTCACACACATCATCCAATAGCTCCGGGCTCGACAGCCACTGGCGCGAGGGCAGAGCCATGAACAGGGGCTAGGGGATGGGGACAGAGACGGGACTGGAAGGCCGATCTAGACTAGGCATTCCGCGCAGAGACCCCCATACATACGCTGTATCTCCTCCCACCCCGATCCCCACCTGAAACCTCACCTGGAGCTCCACCAGCAGCGCCTCCAACACCAGGCGGCATATCCTTCTCTGCAACTCCTCCAGCGCTGCCTCTACCGGAGCTAAGGCCCCTGAAGCCACCCCGTCGGGCTGCAAGACCGACACGGAGGAACTGGACCAACCAAAAGTACAGCTTCAGGACCAAGGCCAAGGCCCTCACGGCCCTTCGTTGTCCAGCCGCTCGGGCGCCACCTAGTGGCGCAAGTGTGTGCAAGGAGGGGGCAAGAAGGGCGTTTCCCCGCACTCCTGAAGGTCTGGGGTGTGGACTTAAGGCATGGACTTAAGGTGCGGTGGGCTCAGTGAGCTAGAAGGGACACAGCCCAGATGGCCCTGCCTCTAATTCGCAGTGTGACCTTGAGCAAGTCATGTCTTTCGGTTTATGTTTACTCATCCGTAAGGGGGGAGAGTTTATTCCAGTCTGGAGGCAGTAAAAATCAGCAACTTGTCTGCCGTGTCTGCCCCCATCCCAAAGAACATAAGATCCAAGAGGAAGGAAATTTTTTTCTGTTTTGTTTACTGCTGTAACCCTAAACATTATCTGGCACAGAGTAGGACCTGGTAGGTATATGTTGAATGAATGAATACTTGAGACGAGGTGCCAGGCACTGTGGTAGGTACTTTACATCTGCTACCACATGTGATTCTCACAACATTCCATTCTTACCCATATAATACTAATGAGAAAAGTGACATTCAGAGAGATTCAGTAACTAGCTCAAGGTCACACAGTAATTAGAACTGGGATTGGAACCCCAGGTCTATGTGAGTCCAAAGTTCCTAATGGCCTACTGTGGCTGGATCAATACCTAATAGATGTTCAGTCAGGGGTTAGTGAAGGTGGGGTTCTGTGGGAGCCTTCTGGTACCTGAGTGCTGATTGGTGGTTGAGGGCAGCCAATAGGTAGGACACATAATGAGGGGCCATTGCTTCCCCTCTGAGGTGGTCTCGGGAGAATCGTATCAGGGCATCACTGAAGCTGCAAAGGGTAGAGGAGGCTTCTGTACCTGCTGTCCCTCTGGCACCCCAACAACCTCTGTTCCAGGTACTCTGGCCCCACCTCCAAGATACCCAAGGGCCCTGTTTGAAGGAGCCTTTTCCCACTGGTGGGCCTTATTCACTCGGAGCCCCTTTGGGCTGCCCGAGGAGCAAGGCCAGGTGTTGGGGATGGATCAGTGCCTTGGCAGACCTCCTCAGGAATGCTCCCAGTTCTGACAGTGCCATGCCATGCACCCGCCGCTGCAGTGACTCACTGACCAGGCTGGTTACTCGAATATTTTCTTCCAGGATCTATAGGCAGGAATGGGCAGCCATTAGCAGAGTCCTAGTCCTGCCCTCCCCTTCCCCTATGGGAGCTGCCCACCTGCCCACCACTTCCCACCCACCTGCAGCACGATGGCTGGCATTGGTGAGTGATAAAAACCAGATGGGTCTGTGTCAGGCTCTTGCTCCCGGCCCCACTCAGCTACTTCCCCATCCAGTGCTTTCTGCAGCCACTGCACCACATTTGCCTGGGGGAAGGGAGGAGGGGCATCAGGATATAACAGGACACTGACCCTGCTAGAGACAGGTCAACATGTTACTCTACAGATACAGGCACACAACTAGTAGCAGAGCTTCTCTGGACCTCGGCTCCAACTACTCACCCGGACTTTGGACACAAATGTTGCCTCCAGCTGCTCGATATTCTCCAGGGTCAGGAGAGGCTCCAGCTGAGACACATCAGCCTCAGGCCCCAACTCCAGGCTCCCCATCATTTCTGGCCTGGCGATAGGTGGCCCAGTGTCACACTGAGCCCCCAGCTTTCTGGTCCACCCACTTCCCATTGCCCAAAGGGCACTGACCCCAGGTACACATGCAGTGCCCAGTGCAGCAAGGTGAAGGCATCAGCAGCTCCCAGCTCAGGCCCTTCCATGAATTGCTGTAGGCAGCGGCGCAGGCCACTGTGCAGGGTGTGGGCCCACAGTTGGACCACCTTGTAGTGCGGTGGGCAGCAGGGCGCTATTAGTGCCTCAGCTGTGGCCAACTCGGCTGGTAGAGCCACCCGCAGAGCCTCCAGCCACCCGGCTAGGGCCCCTGGCCCAGGCAGCAGATGTGTCCCAAAGTGGACCCGCTCCAGGCCCTCCTGTAGTGCCCGCAGACAGCGTTGCCGCCAGTCCCGGGGTGCCTGCTCCAGGGAGGTTGTGCGGCCAGTCTCCACCTCCGCCACACGCACAGCTGCCACCAGCAGGGCTGGGTCCTCCCGTGCCAGCTGCCCTGCAGCCCCTACAGCCGCCTCCACAGCCTGGCCCAGTGCCTCAGACAGAGGGCCCAGCCCCTCAAAGATAGGCAATTCCAGGTCCCCCAGAGATTCCCATGTCTCCTCTTGCAGTTGTTCAAGCTCCCGAAGGCTCACATATGCCTCCAAGAGCTGTTGGGCATCAATCAAGGACTGTGTGTGGGCCACTGCAGCTGGCACTAAGGAGGGAGAAAAGGAGACCGCCCTGGGTCTCAGCCTTCCCACCTGTGCAATGGATACAGGATCAGATGCGAAGGTCCTGGGGCTGGGATGATGTGTAAAATATTTAATAACTAGTATAATAGAGCATTGGCCAATCTGAAAAGATCCAGGGAAGGTCCTAGAGGCCTGGTGGGCCAGGGGTAAACCCTTGAGCTAATGGAACATGAGGAAGTCAGGGATCCTGGAAGGAAAGCAGGGAAGAACTGGAGGACCATTCTAATGGCTATTCACCCACACTGTTAGGGGAAAATTTCAATTTAACAACCAGGATGGCCAGAGCTGCTTGACTGGGTGTCCTTCCTGACTCAGACATCCCATGCTCAGGAACACCAGAATGAGCTAATTTGCACCCTGCTTCATATGCCATCTGAAGCCTGAGTTACTGTCTGGGAGGTTCCCGGTGTGTCACTCCATGCAATCTCCCACGAATGCCCCAGCCCCTTGATGGGTGTTTGTTGACTGTTGGGCTGAGGCGCAGAACCCCTGCATACTCACCTGCCCGCAGCCGAGGCAGCAGCTGAGACAGGGCCTGCAGTTGCTGGTGCTGGCTAACCTGCTCCCGCAGGGGCTCTAGTGCCTGTACAGCCTCTGCCATGCCCCGGAGCAACCCACGGGCCTGGCCCAGGGCCTCACGGGCTTCCTGCACAGCCTCAAGGCCCTGGGCCAGCTGCCACACACCAGTCTTCACACCCTCCAGGTACGACTGCACCACTGACTGGGAGGGAAGCAGCCAGTGAGGCCTGGCTAGCTCTGCCAACCACCCCCAGCACCGCTGCCCCCTGCCTGATACCCACCTTCATGCGTGCTTCCAGGGAGCAGGTGCGCTGCACCTCACGACTGCGGTACTGGCCCAGTCTGACTAGCTGCTCTGGCCGGTAGAAAATGCCTGAGGCCCACTTGAGTGCTGCACCCCGGGCCAGCTGCTCCGCCCTCTGCTGCTCAGGCCACTCAGGCCCTGGGCAGGAAGAGACTGGACAGCCATGTCAGTTGGGCAGGGCCTGAAGGAAGCAGCTGCCGAACCTGCTCCCCTTCCTGCTCTTCAGTCTGGCCCCCAGGGCAGTCTACTCATCTCGCTGACCGATAGAGCTCCAGCCAGACTTGGCAAGAAGGACCCAACCCCACCATTCCCATCTTTCTGGCCACATCCCTCTCCCAACCCACCCGGAAGGTCTCATACCAGGAAGAAGTGCAGGCTGCGTTTCGTTCTTGGTTGTTGAGTCCATGGCAGGCCCTGGAGGAGCTGGAGCTGAGGTGGGAGTCGGGGCAAGGGTCTGGGTTAGAGCAGACAGAGTGGATGCTCCTTTGAGCTGCAGGTTCTGTCTAGGCCCCTCCAAGGAGGAGGAGGGAGGTTCTTGCCCAGCCCCCTCAGGAAATGCAAAGGAGGAGGGTGTGATGGGCAGGTACCTGGGAAGCCTTCCCCTGTAGGATTTCTTAGTTTTGCCCTGTGCAGATGCTGAGTGAGGCAGGGTAGGCACAGACCTCCACTGGACCCTGCTCCTGCTGAGTTGCAGAGGACAGTTTGGTATGGAACTCACCAGGCCTGACCAGAACTGACCAGGCATCCAGTTCTCCCTCCTCCTCAAACAGCCTTGGCCTTGAGGATGGCCCTCTCCCCCGGCCCTCACAGCAGAGCTGGGCACTCCCTCCACTGGCTAAGAGGGCCTGGGTGGCCTTGGCTCACACCTCAGCATATAGCACAATTCCTCTTCCCAAGGAAGCCTGTGTCCTACCTCCCCGCCCAGGAGCCCCCTCCTCCCTCCAAGGTCCCTTCCTCTCCAAGGCCACATACAGAAAGGAAGGAAACTGAATCTCTGGCATTTTATTCCCAACAGGAAAGAGCATCTGCACTGTGGGATGGGGTGGGGAGGGCTGGGCGCCACTTCCTTGGGGGGAGGGGAGTGTACTCCCTGTGATCAAGTCTTGACCAGTACACCCAGGACCTCTTAGTGCTCAGAACACAGACATGAACCAGATGGCCCCAACCTGGGGTGGAGAGTGGCTTGTGCAAATGCAGACAACAATATCACAATATGAAAACTGTGTTGATGGGCCCCTCAGAGGAGGGTGTGTACCTCTGCAGAGGAGTGAGAGATCACAGGCTGTTGTGAATAATATGCGTGGTAGGACAGGGGCCCAAGGGGTATGAAAGTTTTTATCTTGAGAGTTAAAGGGGGCCATGGAAGAGACTACTGGGTAGTAATAATGTAGTGGACGTTGGTGAACCACCCAAATCCACCCTTCAAGACAAAGGCACTTGTTCCCCTAGTTGCCAGGAGTGTAGGCTGCTGAGGTCTCACAGCTGAGTCTCTGGGTCAATTTTGGGGTACAAAGGCCCAGTACCCCTGCCTGGGCATGGAACGTCTTGGAAGGGTCACCCTAGTTTTAGAGCCCCTAGTAGGATGGGCTGAGGTCTCTATTATAACTGCATTCACCATTTAATTCCTTCTCTGTCCAATTCAGTTTGTCTTACTCCCTTATGAGTGTGGATCCTCAATAAACTTCTTGCAGGCAGTCCCTGTCTCAAAGTCTGTTTCCCAGAGAACTTGACCTAAAATAAAAAATAATAACAATAATAAATAACGACAATGTTAAAAATAACAACATGATACCAGCAAACACATAATCCTTCCTACATGCCAGGAACTGCTCTAAGTGCTTTATATATGTTTATACATCGGTAAACACGTTTGCATTGGGTGAAAAGTGGTTATAATTCCGTGGCCTCTGAGCACTGCAGTGTGGAGACAAGAGAAAGATGAGGCTAGAATCAGGGAAGGGATGTGGGGATGGAGACAAGTGGACAAGCTAGATGTAGTTAGTGCTTGCTGTTTGGCAGGAAGTGAGGTACGAAAATAGGGTAGGTGACCCCAAGAGAGTGGGGCAGCTTCCCGGAGCAGAATTGGGAAAACATATTGGGTTCATCAGGCAGCGTGTCTCCTTTCCTAAGACGTGGAGTTGGGCAGGTTGGCCAGTCAGGGAGGTTCCGGTGGCTCCCCCTTTTCTACTTCCAGGGCTGCCCACTGGCTTGTTCCACATGTCTCCACACCATGTCCTGTCTCCCGGGCTTTGCGGGTTGTTTTCGTCCTTTTCGGCGGTTGGACATTTGCTGATGGTCCCCGAAGTTTTGCGGCCGTGCCCGCAGAGAGGCATTCTGCCGGGTTCCCTGGGAGAGCAGGGGGCGGAAGCGGAAGCAGATACGCTGGCGCCGGCGGCGGGGTGGCTAGGAACGGAAGCGGAAGTGGCGGCGGCGCCGGCCTGGCCTGGCCTGGCTGAAGGGAGGCGGCGGGCTGGCGCGATGGCGGAGGCCGGGCCACAGGCGCCGCCGCCCCCGGGCACCCCAAGCCGGCATGAGAAGAGCTTGGGACTTCTGACTACCAAGTTCGTGTCGCTTTTGCAGGAAGCCAAGGACGGCGTGCTTGACCTCAAGCTGGTGCGGCCGGGGCTGAGGGAAGACAGGGGGGAATGGTGGAGCAGGCCTGGGCCGGTAACCCCGGCGGCCTAGCGGAGCCCTCAGAGAGCAGGCCGCCATCCGTATGCTTTCTCAGAGGAAGGATGCCGGGAGCGGTTTCATTCATTCGGCTGAGGCTCTTGGGTGTCCGCTATGTGTTAGTCTCCGGGCTGCGGGTGCTGATCCTCGTGGCCCTCCCCGCCTGGTGTGGGGAAAAGAGCATCAGCATAACAGTCCAGGGTGCGCCAGGCCTCTTCCCGCTCCGCGGTCCTGAGTTGCTTTAGTGCCTGGGAGGAGGCTTGGGACCTAGTCCACCCCCTTTTCAGACCGCTCCAGACCAAGTCTCAAGGTAGCCGGGGGTACGCCTGAGAATGGGGTTGAGCATCCTCCACTCTCTTCTGTGTGCCAGGCAGCTGACACCCTAGCTGTGCGCCAGAAGCGGCGGATTTACGACATTACCAACGTGCTGGAAGGTATTGGGCTGATCGAGAAAAAATCCAAGAATAGCATCCAGTGGAAGTGAGTCGGGGCCCCTGGTAGGGTAATGGGATCTCCTACCCAGAAGTGTCAGGGGTGAGGGTTGGAGGGTGCTGGAGAGAGCAGGGGCCATGGGACCCAGAGTTTCCTGGCAGCTCCTCTCAGCCCCACTCCCTGGGCTCAGGGGTGTGGGGCCTGGCTGCAATACCCGGGAGATTGCGGACAAGCTGATTGAGCTCAAGGCAGAGATCGAGGAGCTGCAGCAGCGAGAGCAAGAACTGGACCAGCACAAGGTGTGGGTGCAGCAGAGCATCCGGAACGTCACAGAGGACGTGCAGAACAGCTGATATCCTCCTGACAGTCCATGCTCCCAGGGAGTGGGTGAGGGGCCCTCTAGTCAGCTGGGTTTGCTCTGTGTTACCCTGGGCTCCATCCCTCTTGGGAGGATGGTCCTGCAGCTTCTGGCCAGCTCCCAGCCTCCAGCTCCCCTCTCAGAGCCCCTCCCCCACCAGTCTTGGCCTGTGATCCCTCTCCACATAGACCCCAAGCCCCAGTACTTCTGAGAGCTTGTATGTCAGATCTTAACTAAAGAGCTGGGTCTTCTCTGTGGTGTGCCATCTGTCACCATAGGCAGGGCCTCAGTTGTTCTCCTTAACCCTCACACCTTGGCCTACGTGACTCATGAGGACATCTGCAGATGCTTTGCTGGTGAGCATAGCCTGGGTCTGGGGAAATGGGGGTGGGGTTGGGCTGAGCCACAGCCCTGAGCAGTGGGCTCAGTGCCCAAGGAGAGTTCCATCTCTTAAGAGGGTTCCTGGGGCCTGCCCAAAGGGGAACCAGGCAAGGTAAGTCCTGGATTTGAGAGTCACTGGGGCCCTGTGGAGGCTAACTATACTGAGAGGGTACAACAATCCTGGGATGGGTGTCTGGGTCAGCACCCATCTGCTCCGTGCCCTGGTTTTGGCTTCTCAGGTATGACAGGCATATGGGGGGAAGTGTGTGTGCATGCTTGTATGCAGAGGGCAATGGCTCCCACTTTCAACTTATGGTTAGTTTAATTGCATTGTGGATACAGGAACTGTTTCTTCTCCATTTTGCACCCCCCCAGACTGGTTCTGAGGAAGGGATGTTGGCCTTGGCCAGAACACCTACATTTAGGGAACAGCCCCATCAATTGAGGAGTGAGATGCCCATGGCCAGCAGTCTTTCGTTCCACATGTTTGAATCCAGATTTTCTGGTTACTGACCCCCCCTGGGCTCTTGGAAGGAGAAAAGCTTTCGTTCTCTGCCTCAGTCACAGTGGGGGTTGGGTGAGGCCTGCTGTCTAGCTCCTCACAGATCATGATCTCCTTCCTTGCTCTGAGGGACAGGCACCCCTATTCCCAGCTCAAACTGAGTTCCTGGGCTTTGACCCATTCTCCTTGTTATTGTAGGAGACACCCTCCTGGCCATCCGGGCTCCGTCAGGCACCAGCTTGGAGGTACCCATCCCAGAGGTGGGTACTCAGCCCAGGCAGGCGGGGTTGGTTGAGGGCGGGTGCTGGCTGTGGAGCCCGATAAGTTCCGGGTGGGGCAGGTAGGTTGAGGCCTGGGGTTTGGGGTTATCTAGGAGAGCAGGCAGCCTGGGGTGGGAGAGGACACTGTGGCCCTGGCCCAGAATCAGGCAGGAGCCAAGCCTGCTTCCAATTCCACCTGCCCCACACCCCCAGGGCCTCAATGGGCAGAAGAAGTACCAGATTCATTTGAAGAGTGTGAGTGGCCCCATCGAAGTGCTGCTGGTGAACAAGGAGGCATGGAGCTCACCGCCTGTGGCGGTGCCTGTGCCACCACCTGAAGATCTGCTCCAGAGCCCACCTGCTGTCTCTACCCCTCCAACTCCACCCAAACCTGCTGTGGCCCTGCCCCAGGATGCCTCACGCCCAAGCAGTCCCCAGATGACTACGTCTACCTGTGTCCCCGGCACCACTGAAGCCCAAGGGGTGGCCAGTCCAGCAGCTGAGATCACAGGTGAGGCAAGATGGGTATCTGGTGATAGATGGGGTGATTTCTGGGGCCCAAAAGGAATTGTGGAGTGCCATACTCAGAGTTGGAAGAGACCCTTTGGGGGTTGTCCCTTTCCTGGCCGCCAGCTAGCCTTCCCTTGCTATCCCAAGGGAGCTCTTTTTAATAGGGAAGTTCTGACTGTATGAAGGGGTATTAGTGGTGGCAGTTTTTCCCCAGATTCACCTCACTTGCCCTGGCAGCTCCTCTTGAAGTGTGGTCTCACTAGCCATGTCCATGAGTCTTCCCTCCTACAGGTCTCATGCCACTGTCCCCTTGAGTGCATCATTTTTAGGTTCTCTCTTCATGGGTTACTGGCAGTGCCTAACTCTCCTTAGGCCTGGGAACCAGAGCCATAGTCATCCTGGGTATGGGTTCTAGCACGGCCAACTTCAGTGTCCCACTTTCTGCCCCCAAGTGACTGGGTTTGGGGCATGTGGTTGCAGTGAGTGGTGGTCTTGGAACCAATAGCAAGGACAGTGGTGAGCTCAGCTCACTCCCGCTGGGCCCGACCGCACTGGACACTCGGCCACTGCAGTCCTCTGCCCTGCTGGACAGCAGCAGTAGCAGCAGCAGCAGCAGCAGCAGCAGCAGCAATAGCAGTTCATCTGGACCCAACCCTTCTACCTCCTTTGAGCCCATCAAGGCGGACCCCACAGGTGGTGAGTACTTGTTCCCTTGGGAGCATGGGGAACACAGCCTCAGCCAGTCCTAGGTCAGAAACAGAATTGGGGCTGGAACCCAGCTCTTCTATCTCCTCAGCCAGAGCAAGAGTCAGCCCCTGCTGTCAACCCTGCCTTGACTAGCGCTCTGCCAGCTGGTGCTGGTGGCCCTTTGCCCCCCTTCCTGGGCTGACAAAACTCCCTGGCCCTCTCTGAAGCCCTGCTTGCCACCTTTGAACACAGGTCTCAGCAAGGCGAATGCGCTCACTTGGGGAAGGGGCTATGGTATGGTCCTCAGGCTCCAAAGGTGGGCAGTACCCTCCCAGGAGAGGTGATGTCATCTGCTTGGTGTTTCCTCTCCATCCTGCGACTTCTTCTAGGACTCATTCTCCTCAGCCCACAAGTACCGTTCTCTCCTCACTAAATGACCCTTTTTCCTGTTTCCCCATCTCTCACCTTCCCTGCCTCCTCTTTTTCTGGACTCCTCGAAAAAGTCATCTTCACTCCACTCCACATCTTGCTCTCCTAGTCACCCTTCAGGTTCCAGCAGTCAGGAGCCCTGCACCCACCCCACCTCCCATGCTACCCCAGTGCTGCCCTTGATAAGTTGCCCAACCCTGACTGCCAGCTCTAGCAGGTTTCTAGGCTGATGTGCTCTGGTGCTCTTTTGTTCCATATTGATACTTTTCTCCTCCTTTGGCTTTAATGATGCCAGATCTCAGTTCTTCTCTCTCACTGGCTCCCCTTCTGATCTCTCCCTGGCACTTCCTTAGACATTGGCACTTCTCAGGTCTCTGTCCCCTTCCACAACTGTGGAGGGCTGTAGTTCTGGGTAGATGAACCCCTAACCTCTGTCTTGCCTAGGTCTTTTGCTGGAACTCCACATCTCTTGTGTCCACATGCCTTCCTGTGCACATCCAATGGGTACTTCATTCCCATGTGTCCTCAACTGAAACTTGCTTTTCCACCTCTGTGTATACCCTACCATTGGCCCTTGTCACCCAGGCCTGACACCTGGGTGTCACTCCAGTTCCATTTCCTTCTCCCTCCTTCTGCTCCCCACATCAGCTAAGTGACTTTTCTTCCAGATATCTCCCATCAGTGGCCTCTTACATCCTTAACACTCAGGATCGCTGCTGGCCACCTGTACCCTAAATTCCTCAGCAGCATCCTCTTTACCCCAACTGACAAGAATCTATCTGAACACAGCCTAACTGGCATTTCTCTGTTTACAAAAGTACCTTTAATGGCTCCCTAAGGGCTGCTGGATAAAACCAAGCCCCTAAATGTGGCATATGAAATTCCTCATGATCCAGCCCCAGCACTCCTCTCCAGAGCTTCATATTCCTCTGCTTCCCATGTGCGTCCTCCCAGTCAGACCTTTGTAGCAGAGGTGTCACCCTGTAGCACTAGCCCTTGTTGAAATGTCTGCCTCCTCCTCTGCCAGGTGACGTGGCCTGGGGTGTGGTGTCTGAGCCTGGGACTGAGCAAGTGCTCAGCAAGGGTTGGGGATGGACAGGGCATCAGACAGGATATGCATGCTGAGCCCAGGAAGGAGGGGGTCTGCTTGCCCTTCTGCAGTACTTCGAATTAGAAGGGCTATACCAGTCACCTACAAAGGGCCTTTGGTACCCTGGGCTCAGCACTGAGGAATTCGGGTCAACAAGGAAGACTGACAGACAATGCCAGCTTGTCCTGGGGTAGGGCCTCCATCTCTTCAGCTGTGTGGAGTCCCAGGGTGGGTGGTATAGGATCTGAGGAAATTGGGGGCTAGAGTGGGACCAGGCTGGCCCTCTGTGCCCTTGAGCATGGCTCTTTTTGTCTTTCAGTTCTGGAACTCCCCAAAGAGCTGTCAGAAATCTTTGATCCCACACGAGGTAGGGCTGCATTCCTCCTTGGGGCAGGAGTAAGGATCTTACAGTTGATTTCTTGCCCTTCTGAGGACCTATGATTGTGCTTGATACCTGGGCAAAGTGTAAAAGTTCCTGGGGGGTAGGTATGGGGGGGATCCCCTTTATCAGCTTTAGTGGGTGGAAAGGCAGGACCCAGAATGTAACTGAGCTCTCCCTCTTTCCTCAGAGTGCATGAGCTCAGAGCTGCTGGAGGAGCTGATGTCCTCAGAAGGTGGGTGGCCCAGGAAGGTGGGGGTGGGTGTGGGCAGGGGGTTGGTGGCTGCTGGGTGGGACCTTGGCTGAAGGCCTCAGCCTGGTGTTCTCTGCAGTGTTTGCCCCTCTTCTCCGCCTTTCTCCGCCCCCCGGAGACCATGATTACATCTACAACCTGGACGAGAGTGAAGGTGTCTGTGACCTCTTTGATGTGCCTGTTCTCAACCTCTGACTGACTGGGACATGCCCTGTGTGCCTGGGACACAAACTGTCTAACCTGAGGGCTGCTTGGGGACCTCCCCCCACCCCCACTGCTACAAAGCTTGAGAGCCACAGACTCCTGGCTTCCCCAGCCTTCCCTGACTGCACAGTTCTGGCTACAACTCCTACACAGCACCGACACCTGTACAGTGCTAGGAGAGCAGGGGAAAGGGGCTCAGCCCCTCCACGGTGGAGCCAAAATACTTGCCTCTCCTTTTCTGGGGCTTGCCCCACTTTGTGCCCTCCCCAAGCCCATGCTCGGCTGCTACACCCAGTGTCACAGAATGAGGAGCTGAATTCACTCCATAGGGCAACTTGTCTAACCCCACTGCCCTGTTCCTGCCATGTCCTCTCCCTCTTAGGAGGGAAGTTGGGGTGGAGCTCAGCACTTTCCAGCACCATCCTAGCCTCCTTTACTTCTCTCCCCCCCCCCCACCCCACCCTTGACCCTGTTGACCCTCCTGGACCTCTCTCTCCTGTATCCCTCTTCTGCCTGGCCTTTAGCCTTGAGAACCTGTAGGTGGTGGTGGTGGTGGTGGTGGGTGCTAACAGAAAGGAACAGAGGTCTCTAGCTAGGAATCTGGGCAGGTGAGTCCCTGAGGATTGGCCCACCCTCCTGCTGCCCCATAGCCCACCTCTCTCTATTCATTTACCCTCATTTAGAGCCATTTGCAGAGATTTAGAAAGATTTGCAGTAACAATGGATTCCTATATAAAGATTATTTTTATACTTTTTGCAGCAAAAGAAAATTGTAATATTTGTACAGTGTCCAAGTGAATAAAGATCTTGCCTAAGGCTACTTCTGGTCTGGTTCTTTCCGGGCCCCTCTCTGGGACTATGCTGGATTGGTGCTGGGGCTGGGTGGATCACCTTGCTAAAACAGGAGGTGTGGTGGCGCCAGCAGCCCGCCCTCTCCACCCCCACCTACCTCACCTTGGGGCGGGGCGGGGCAGGGCCGCCTGTTCAGGGCGGGACAGGGCAGGCGCCGTCCTCCTGCCCCCGGACTACAACCCGGAACTAGCCTCCCCTGGGAAGGCCGCGTCGCCTGGCCAGGAGTGGGCTCCTGGGCTGTGAATGTGGGTCACGGGGGTGAGGCCGCGGACACAGGGACGCCCTCCTTATCCTCAGGGGCCCCAGACCAGGTGCGCCCTCGGCAGGAGGTTGCACGGTTTGGAAGGTACAGGCGCCCCGTCCCAGCTGGAGCATGGCACCCCCGCGGGACGTGGTGAAGATCGCCATCCAGATGCGTGACGCCATCCCGCAGCTCATCCAGCTGGACCAGGTCACCCGGCCTGTCCGGCCAACATCCACCCCACAGCCCACCTCTGGGTCGCCCCCTTCCCATTGGAACGGCCCACCCCACCCCTTCCCCAGGTTCTCCCCCAACCTTACTCATTCCTGGCCGTGAGTGACCTCTCCAATTGCAGGCAAAGCCCCTGGCCGCTGTGCTGAAGGAGGTGTGCGACGCGTGAGTGCGGGCCTGACAGGCCAGGGGAAAGGGGAAGGTCAGGAGGGAGGGGGCGCCTCCTACCTGCCTCACTGAGCCTACTCTTCCCGCAGGTGGAGCCTGGCTCACTCTGAGCGCTATGCCCTGCAGTTTGCTGATGGACACAGGAGATACATCACTGAGAATGTGAGTTCCCTTTCCCCCTTGGTCTCTTCTAATTCCTGATTCCTAACCTTGATTCCTTAGACTTCTCATCCCATTGGAATGTGATCTTTCACAGAGTTCCAAATCCTCCCTTATTGACAACCCTGATTAACTAATCCTCAGAGCCCTTAGTGACTTCTCTCCCTTTTCTGCTGTCTTCTCCAGAATCGCTCGGAGATCAAGAATGGTAGCATCCTGTGCCTCAGCACTGCCCCAGTAATGTCCCCTCCTGGCCCCACCCTCATTCCCTTCCCTTCTGCCATGCCTCCCTTCTGCTTGCAGGGCCTCTGCCCCAGCCATATCCCTGTAGTGCTCCACCTAATGGACACCCGCGTTCCCACACCCCCAGCTACCACTCCTTACCGCCACCCAGCCTCCTCAACTTTGCTTCTGCTCCTGCCCGGCCAGGACCTTGAGGCTGAGCAGCTGTTGGGTGGGCTACAGCGTGGGAATCGTGAAGGACGTCGGGAAGCCCTGCAGCACCTCGGCCAGCTGGCGCCAGACATGACCTTTGCCCAGGAGGTTATCAGCCGTGATGGACTTCAGAGACTAGGCACCATTATTGAGGATGGGGATGAGTGAGCACCTGGTTGTGGTGGGTGGCGGACACGGTGGGGCTGGGGGTCCTGGCCTGACCCTGCTTAGCCCCAGATGTTCCCCCAGCCTAGGGGAGGTGCTGGCCCTTGCACTGAAGGCCTTCTTGGAGCTCATGGAGCATGGCGTGGTGTCCTGGGAGACGCTCAGCATCCCCTTTGTTAGGAAGGTGGGCTTTTCTAAGGGCAGCAGGTTGGGGCACTGGGGTGGTGTCAGGATCTGGCCATCTGTGGTGGTCAGGGGGTGAGGTGACAACCCCTACCCCTCTTACAGGTGGTGTCCTATGTGAACATGAACCTGATGGATGCATCTGTGCAGCCCCTGGCCCTCAGGCTGCTGGAGAGTGTGACCTTAAGCAGCCCTGTCCTGGGCCAGCTGGTTAAAAGTGAGGTGACACTAGATAGGCTGCTGGTGCATCTGCAGGTGTAAGTGTATGGGGGTGGGATACACATGAGGGTAGCGGAGCCAGATCTTGGATGGCCAGCTGAAAGCCTTCTTGCCCCAGGATGAACCAGGAGCTGCAAACCAAGGCCATGGCATTGCTGACAGCCTTGTTGCAGGGGGCCAGCTCTACTGAACGTAAGGTGGGTGTCCATAGGTGGCTGGATGGGGGCAGGAGCTGGTGGGCACTGTGCTCCACTGTGGGCCTATAGGGTGGGTACTTTTGATGGGGCTAAATCATCTAAGCCCCCTTCCCACCCACCTCAGCACATGCTTGACTACTTGTGGCAGAGAAACTTTCGCCAATTCATCTATAAGGTAGGAATGACTGGGCCAGGCAGACCCCCTCCCCACTCCTCTCCCTATGAGCCCACGCTCACACCCGTGGACTGGCTGTCCTCCAGAACATCATCCACAGTGCAGCGCCCCTGGGTGACGAGATGGCTCACCACTTGTATGTACTGCAGTCCCTTACACTGGGGTTGCTGGAGCCGCGCATGCGCATGCCACTGGACCCCTACAGCCAGGTGGGTGCCTTTGGGGTACACAAGGCTGGTAGCAGTTGGAACTTGGCCTTAAGTCTATTATCATGACCCCCAGGAGCAGCGGGAGCAGCTGCAGACCCTGCGCCAGGCTGCCTTTGAGCCAGAGGGGGAGTCCCTTGGTGCCGGGCTAAGTGCTGACCGTCGCCGTTCCCTCTGTGCCCGCGAGTTCCGCAAACTGGGCTTCTCCGTGAGTGATCTCTAACCAGCTCCCCACTCCTGCCTCAACCCAGGGTTGATGTTGTTCCAGAGGGCTGGGGCCCTTCCTCAGCTGCCTGTTCCCCTTCCCCCAGAACAGCAACCCTGCGCAGGACCTAGAGCGCGTGCCCCCCGGCCTCCTGGCCCTGGACAATATGCTCTACTTCTCTAGAAACGCACCCAGTGCCTACAGCCGGGTCAGTGATGGGGTGGGGTGGGTAGAGCAGGATGCCCACCTAAGCAGGGTCCCCATGGGCTTAGCCGTGACTCCTTGCCCCATTCTCTGCTCCTACCACCCCAGTTTGTGTTGGAGAACAGCAGCCGTGAGGACAAGCATGAGTGCCCCTTTGCCCGGAGCAGCATCCAGCTGACTGTGCTGCTGTGTGAGCTGCTCCGAGTCGGGGAGCCCTGTGAGTGGGACTAGGCACAGTGTGTCCAGGAACGGGGGACGGAAGGGCAGAGAGGGCCAGGGGCTGCACATACTTTCTCCCTGAGCCCCTCCTGCCCCCCTGCTCCAGGCTCCGAAACAGCCCAGGACTTTTCACCCATGTTCTTCGGCCAAGACCAGAGCTTCCACGAGCTCTTCTGTGTGAGCATCCAGCTGCTGAATAAGACTTGGAAGGAGATGCGGGCCACACAGGAGGACTTTGACAAGGTGGGTGGGTGGGAGCTGGGAGACCTGGGCCAGGGCAAGGGGCTGTGCCAGGTAGGGGCCCAGAGCTCAGGCCCCGAGCTGAGCTTGGGTTGGCTCCAGGTCATGCAAGTGGTTCGGGAGCAGCTGGCCCGCACGCTGGCCCTGAAGCCCAGCTCTCTGGAGCTCTTCCGAACCAAGGTGAACGCGCTCACCTACGGGGAGGTGCTGCGGCTGCGGCAGACTGAGCGGTTGCATCAGGAAGGCACACTGGCCCCTCCCATACTGTGAGTTGGTGGGGGTGGGTCTCAGTCCTAGTCTCCACCTTCCCTGGTGCCCCATGGGCCTTGCCTTAGGTCAGTCCTGGTCAGTGAACCCCCTTCCCCCCAACCCAGAGAGCTGCGGGAGAAGCTGAAGCCAGAGCTCTTGGGCCTGATCCGCCAGCAGCGTTTGCTTCGCCTCTGTGAGGGGACACTCTTCCGCAAGATCAGCAGCCGGAGGCGCCAGGGTCGTTGAGTGGGCCGGGGGGCAGAGTGTCTGGGTTGGGGTCAGGGCCCCTCTCATCACTCCTTCCCTGTTCCCCTTGCTGCCCACAGACAAGCTGTGGTTCTGCTGCCTGTCGCCCAACCACAAGGTGCTGCAGTATGGGGATGTGGAGGACAGCGCTGGCCCACCTGCCCCTGAGAGCCTCCCTGAGCAGCGTAAGGAAGCCATGGGCAGGGGTCGGACACCTGCTCCCCCAGACCGCTCCATGCCCTGAGACCACCTGGGACCCCAGTAGTCAGCCCAGCCTTCTTCCCGCAGTTCCTGTGGCCGACATCAGGGCACTACTGACTGGCAAGGACTGCCCCCATGTACGGGAGAAGGGCTCGGTGAAGAACAAGGTGAGGGCAGTGGGGGCCGGGCCTCCTTCCTGTCTGCTCTGGTTCCTCCCTGCCCCCGCTCAGTGCTCATGGCACCCTTGCCTCCTCAGGACCTCTATGAGTTAGCTTTCTCAGTCAGCTATGACCACGGGGAGGAAGAGGCGTACCTCAACTTCATTGCCCCCTCCAAACGGGAGGTGAGTACCTGGGCAGGCTGAGTTGAGTTGGGCAGATGGGCAGGGGAAGAGACGGGCAGGGCAGGCCCTCATGGAGTGGACCCTGTCCCCAGTTCCACCTGTGGACAGATGGGCTGAGCACCCTGCTGGGAAGTCCCATGAGCAGTGAGCAGACACGACTGGACCTGGAGCAGCTGCTGACCATGGAGACCAAGCTACGGTTGTTGGAGTTGGAGAACGTGTCCATCCCTGAGCAGCCACCCCCCATCCCCCCGCCCCCCACCAACTTTAACTTCTGCTATGACTGCAGCATTGCTGAACCTTGACAGTGAAGTTGGCCAAGGGCCACAGCGGGTGGAGGGTGGAGAAGTGCAGACTCCCTGACCTGCAGAGGCTGCAGCAGAAATAAAGTCTGCTTGGCTCTTGGGTATGTTTTGAGCCAGCTCTGAATCCTGTGGGCCAAGCCTACCTTCAAACTTAGCTGGTGAATGAGATGTCGGGCATTAGGCCAGGGCCACAAATCTCTGGGCAGCTATAGTTGAGTGGCTGGTGTTCTAGAGGAGGGTGGGGACAGGCTGGCTCTGTTGTCCTTCCCCAGATGAGTTCTCAGCCTCCCTCCATGCTGGGCCTGCAGAGAGGGATGGCCTGTTTTTGGGGCCCCAGCCAAGGGAGCGCTGGGACTGTCAGCCAGGTGAGGGAGAAGTAGTAGGGCAGGAGGCATTGCCCCAAGTGGATACCTTCCTGGGCAGTATTAACAGGGGCCTAGTCTAGGAGCCATGTTTCCAGAAGGCTCCTGATAGTCTGAGCTCAGACCTTAACCCTGCTTGGCCTGCCTTTTGTCCTTTGAGGGACTTGGAGGCCCTCTGATGAAAGGTAGAAAAGGAGATGTGAAGTTGGGTCTACTTTGTGCTGAAGGGCAGACTCAAGATTTCAGAAGATGTCCCCAGGTGGGGGAGGATATGAACTGATACGGAAAAGAGGGAATTCAGTGCAGGAAACCTGCATTTTGAAACCCACTGCAGGAGGGTGTGTGTTGGGGGGAGGTGGGGGTCACAGACAGGCCAGAGCCCCTGGGGGCAGAATTGGTTAGGGCTGTTTGACCCAGCTGGAGGTCACCTCAGAAACTATGGTCATAGACCCCAAGCCTCTGAGGCAAAGAGGAGCACAACCGCCCACAGGACCCACAGGACAGGCTGAAAGCTGCCACCACCCTCCCACTACCTCTTTCCCAAGGCCTCCTCAAAAATCTTTTTTAACAGTGTTATCCATCAACATATTACCTTGAAAAGTGATGAAATGACACCCCCTTTGGAGAATGTAATGAGCTTCCCCTCCCCTAGCTATGCTTGATTCAGGCATCCAGGGACCAGAGACTCCCTACCACACTTGGAATCATCTGCTATTGAGTTCAAGATGGAAATGGGGGTGGAGATCCCAGATGCAGTTAACTCTCCCAATATTCCTTCTCAATGCTCCAGTCCCTTGTGCAGGCCACCATGATCTTGACAAAAGCCTCCTGACTTCCTGCCTCGTCTTCTCAATACCAGCTACCCCAGCTGCTTTCTCAAATGTGAACTGATCTGATCACACTCACACAAACACAACCCCATCTGTATTCTTCAGTGTCTCCCTATTGTCCAACGGATAATAGTAGTAGTACCGTGATGAACAGAGTTGAGATGGCCTTCCAATAGAATGCCTGTAGCTTGCAGGGTTCTGGGTGCTTGGTCCATGCTGACATCCCCCCTCAGCCCAGCACCAGCACTGGCCTGCCATGTGCACCTCCCAGTCTCTTCTGATTTCCCCCTTCTTTCCCTTCTGCTCATTGTTTTCACTGCCTTGAGTCCTTTGACCTCTAGGCCAAGTTCATTGCTCCCCTGGGCTCTATTTGTGCACACCCTGCACACTGTCCTTGCCTGTTGGCTCATTTGTCTCCCCAGCTGGCCTGAGGGCTGGGAGAGCTTCGTCACCTCTGAATCCCCACATAGAATGCAGTGCCTGAAGGCGGTCAGGCAGCTCAGTGGGCAGCTCCTAGAACTCATGACCAGATAGATGGACAAAGTGGATGGATGACTGGAGGGTCAGACAGACCTTCTGAGCTGCTGTTGAGGTCACTGGCACTAAGAGGCTGGACTAGATGACTTCTAATGACCCTTCTTACCCAGAGATGTTAACCTCTTCTTTCTTGTCCTTTTTTTTCCCCTGAGGACAACCTCATGGACTCAGACATTGTTCATCAGTGTGTTCCTGGGGTCTGCCTGGGCCAAGTGCACACAGATGTGCCTTTGCTGCAGGACCTCCTTGGGGGCTCATGTTGGGAGAAGCCTCCAGGCTTCTGGAGTCTCCCACCATGTGGGGAAGAAGCTGGGACCTGTTGGGGCACCTGTAGGGATTTGGGCCAGGCCTGAGGAAGTTGTCCTTGGTCTTTTCTCCATTGTCCCTGGGCTGGGCTGCTTCAACTGAGGTGGAGAAGGGAGGGGCCTTTAGTCTGAGAGCTTCAGATAAAGAGGCAAAATCTGAAATTTTTAATCTTGTTTGGGTTTACAACAAAGACTGTGGCTTGGCTGCTAAAGCTCAGTGCTGATAGGGGGCTGGGAGAACGCCTGTAGGGAAGCACAGGCCTTAGGTGTGAGAAGTGGGCAGGACAGAGGCACAAGGTCTACTCCTGAGCAGCAGACCCAGCCACCTGTGGGCCTAGGGCCTCTGGAATCAGGCTTGGCCAGGAGAGCAGGAGCTGGTATTTCCAGGGGCTTGTGGCAGCAACATGTAGATGAAAAAAGGCTCTTGCTGGGCTGTGGGGCAGAAAGCACCCCAGGCTGCCCTGGATTAGTCCCTTCTTCGGCCCTAGAAAATAGTTTATAGCTTGGGGAAAGGGCTCGGGTATGTTGCAGAGGGAAACAGGAGGCACTGTCAAACTCCGGGTCAAAAACCCTGGGCTGGGAAATGGAAGCTGAGCCACAGGGCTGCTTACTGACCAGCCTCAGAGTGTTAAGGTCAGGTCAGCCCCTCCCATGAAGCGGGACTGGACACAGGTCACCTGGGGCAGTTGGGCTTGGAATCGCCTGACGGCAGCCATGCTAATACCAGGGCACATGGCGACATCTAACATCTGAATCTGCTTGCACGCCTGCCCAATGGTATCCAGCGTTCTGCAAGGAGGTCACTGAATGAGTACCTGAGCTGGTGTGGGAGCCCAGCCCAGCCCCAGCACTGTGGCACCATCAGACACACTCACTGCTCTGTGAGCTGACAGCAGCTGGACAGGTTGAGGTGCTGCAGCCTCGGCCAGAAGTTGGCTGCCTGAGTCCAGCCGTCGTCACTGAGGAGGTTGCAATGACTCAGCGCCAAGCGCTCCAGGCTAGGGCAGCCCCTTGCCACAGCCACTAAGCCCTTGTCTGTGAGTGCCGGCAACAGGCTCAGTGACAATTGCCTCAGCTGGGGGAACTGGAGCACCTGCAAGGATGGCGGTTGCAGGGGTGAGGTATAGTATGGCACTGGAGTCCAGGGCCCAGGGTCCTTGCAGGTTCCCCCACCCCCAGCCAGAGGAGTGGTCACAGGCAGAAGCCAATGAGAAAGGAACTTTTTCCATGCAAAAAGTGGGTGGGCCCAGGCCCCTGGCTTCAGCCCCAGGATCCTCAGCCTATCCACACCCCCAGCCCCACACCTTTGCCAGACTGGCATCAGTCAGCTTGCTGCAGGCTGTGAGATCCAACTCCTGCAAGGACTGCAGCATGAACAGAGAGGAGCCCTGTGGCTGGGGAGAAGGGTCCTTGGGTCCCAAGGCCTGATGCTCCAGCTCTCGGTGTGGCTATGGGAAGAGTGCCCTTTCTCCTGAGTTTGAATCATTCTGCAAATGATCCTCAAGACTCAGGAAGGGCAGAGGGCAGCTAAGCCCAGGGACCACACCACCCTCCATGACCTTGAGGGCCCCGTACCTCGGGCCCCTGTGTTGGCTCCTCACTTGGTTCCCCAAGGCCCAGAAGCCCCCAGTCCCGGAGCTCCTTGCACCAGGCCAGGCACAGTACTGAGAGGTGGGTGAGATAGATGCAGATGGCCTGCAGGGTCCGGTTGGTGAGGGCCACACAGGAGGATAAGTCTAGGACCCTAAGGCTTGGGCCCAGCAATGGAATCAGGGAGAGCACCGAGGCATCCTAGGAGGGAAGTAGGGAAAGGAGAGAGCAATGCAGAAGTGGCTTGTGCCTGTGTCACCAGGCTTGGCAGAGTTACTAGGAAGGTTCTGGCCCCACAGGTAATAGGGAGCTACCAGAGGGGTCCATGGAGGGAAGCCACAATGTCCCTGTGCTGGTGAAAGGTCAGAGTGGACAGGGTGAGCCATGGGGTAGGAAACCAGGAGGAGTCTGCTGGAGGACAAATGTCTAGATTGGCTGGAACATGACGGGTGCTGGTGGAAATTTCTAAGGTATCTGCCATGGTTGTGCTCCCAGCCCTCTGACCACAGCTCATTGGACTAGCAGTGAACATTTGACCCTACCGAGCCAATCAGAAATGCTCCCTCTAGAATTTGAAGCAGAACAGTGAGGTCACAGTGGGCATAGGGCTGCCACCTGCCAGAAGCAGTCATGGTTAGGGGAGCAGAAACTAAGGGCAGAGTAGAAGAAGCTGGTTTGTAGAGAGATGCAGAGACACAAGAATGTGGAGCGCCAGAGTCCAGCTAAGAGACATGGAGTGGAGCAGAAGAAGAAAGGGGTTTGTGGGGAAAGGCTGAGAGATGGTTTTCAGGTTGTGAATACCCTGGTCACATTAATAGACTGAAGGAATAATCTGCTAAAAGAGGACTGACGTTCCCAAGACAGGGATGCCATGTGGGAACAGAGCTAAGCCCTATCGAAGGGATTGGCTTCAGCCAAGTGACCCTGCTATTTGCACATCACAGTGTCTCCCTCAGGCCCTGTCCAAACAACCTCTTCTGTGCCCCTTCCCTGCAGGGCTTGGTTCTGTCACCTCCCTTCACCAGTTTTTCTTGCCTCCAGAACACCCACCCTCAGTACCCCTCCCCAGACTACAGCGGTCACCGAGCACTTGGCATGTGAGATGTGTGCCACGTCATGGGCTGGGGCATCCTGGTCTCTTGGACCTCCCTTTACCTACAGTAGGGGCTGCTGGGAAAAGTGCTGGCGGCAGCACACTCTGTCTAGGCTCCTTTCTCCTGCCAGGCTGTGTCCCAAGTTCAGTTCTAATTACTACTCCTTGGACGGACACAAACACTGAGCAGTTCCTGCCTGGTGCCACAAACCCAGGTCCCCCGGCCCGCGGCGCTGGTGAGGAAGGAAGGGGATGGCAGGCTCACCTTGAGTGAGGAGCAGTAGGCCAGGCTGAGGGAGGCCAGTGGGGGTGGAGCTCCATGCACTGAGCCCAGGGCCCGGGCCAATTCCCGCCCGCTCACTAAGCAGCACTCAGCCATGTCAAGGCTCTGCAACTCCCACAGGCCCCCCAGGGCTGTACATCCTGCATCTGTCAGCCGCTGCAGCTTCCTTAGGCTCAGGTGCTGCAGGTGCCGCAGGCCCCGGCTCACGGCCAAGAGTGCCCTGTCAGAAAGTTCTGAGCAGCCGCTGAGGTCCAGGGAGGTAAGGCCTGGTTGCTGGTGGCAAAGGGCAGTCACAGCATCTGTGGAGAGGTCCCGGCAGCTGTGCAGGCCCAGCTCCTGCAGCTGTAGCCCGGCCACCTGGCCCAGGGCCTGCAGGGCCTGGGGTGGCAAGCCAGTGCCACTCAGGTCAAGGGCATGCAGCCTACCAGCCCGTTCCTTCACGAATCGCAGCAGGTTGCGGAAGGAGAGATGGGAGGGGGAGGAGTCCTGGGGGCCGGTGGAGCCCTGGGCTGGGACTAGCTCGAAGGTGAGGCAACAGTAGGCCAAGGAGAGGCGCTCAAGGCTGGGGGTACAGCTGCTGAGCCGGTTGAAGCTGAGGTCAGCCAGATCCCGCAGGCCAGCCAGGTTGAGCTCAAGGAGGCCGCTCAGTGCCTGCTGGACCCGCTGTGCTATCTCGGGCTGAGCTAGCAGCATGCCTGATGCGAAGAGGCTGTTGCAGCCACTGAGGTCAAGGCTACGTAGGGCCGGGCAGCTCAGGACCAGGGCCACGAAGGAGGCCTCTGTGGGGCTGCCCCCACCGAGGCATAAGCTCTGAAGATGTGGGCCCAAGTGGTAGGCAACAGACTGCAGTACCTGGTGTGAAGCTGGCGAGCCATCCAGATTGGTTAGGCCGATGCAGGAAATGCCCTTGAGACCCAGGCTCTTGATGGCCGAGAGGGAGGACAAGGACACGGGGATGTTGTAGCGCACGTTTGTCTGAGGGGCAGCAGCAGGCCTGGGTTAGTCCTCTGGCCTCAGAAGGTGGTAGGCATCGTGTCTGGTGGCAAGTTGCTGGCCAGAGGTAGAGGGCAGGCCAGGAAAGGGCCCTTCTACAAGGGGACCCACTGTAGTATATAGTGTCATGTGTGGTTGAGGGGGTGCTGGTAGGAAGTGGAAGCTGGGAGAATAAGTCACATTGGGGTTTAAGGGGATGACTATGAGGGGAGGGCAGGGAGGTTAGTGGACAGGACTGGATGCCCAAGGAGGGGTGGAGGAAGAGTGGGGAGTTGGCATGCTGGGTACAAGAAGACTGGGGGGCTGTCCTGGAGGAGACCCAGTGAAGCCTCCAGTGAGCAGGAGGACAAAGTATGCTGGACCCCAACCTTTGGGACTTTCAGAAGGTGGCCAAGACTCATGGATTCAGCTCCTACTTTAGGGACTCAGAGCTTGGCATTAGCTAAGCAGCCAGCCTCCCCTACTTTCTTGAGAGCATATAAATAGCCCTCAGAACAGGTGAAGGTGGGAAGAAGTGAGGTGTCACTCACTATAACCCCGATGGTCCAGATGCCAGATGTATGGGGCAGGTAGTGAGGCCGAAGTCCTCTGGTGGCGTCAGTGTTTCGGTCACACCAATGTTTGCAAAAATGGGTTTTGCATGTAAGTGAAAATATGTGCATGCATGTATGTGTGTGTGCATGTGCTAACATGTGTGGGTCCTACAGGCTCCCGAGTTCAAGATGTGCTTCTGATCCCTGTGGCTCATCTCTGGAAGGTCCATCTTAACTCAGGTGAAGAAAGAGAAGCCTCCATTTCTGGGGGCAGAAACTAAGAGAATGAATCTCAGAAGCACTAAGGAAGTTGAGCTAGCCCTGCCGTAGAACAGGGGTGCGAGGGTGGAGAGCACATGGTTGCAGTGGGGTGACTGGGTGGGTGGGAGGCCAGCTCAGGGCTAAATCATTGTGGAAATAATCTGGCTTGTGTAGTTTGGGGAGCCCTCAACTGAGGTTTTTCATAGAACCTTCTCTGATCTTGTGCCAGAGGGAGCCAAAGGGCAGTTGGTACAGGTGTTTGGGAATAGGTTTGTGGAAGGAGGGAAAAGAGAGCTCGGCTTCTAAAATTCTAGCCCCAGTTCTCTACCCCTGAGGATGCCCAGGTTATAGGCAAGTGGTACTCAAAGAAGGCTCATGTCTTAATGTATAAATACAATCCTGATGCAGGAAAGCAAGTTCCCTGAAAAACCTGTCTTGTCAGCAATTGCAAGAATAAGCTCATTTTCCCTGCTGTACCCCACAGAACATCATCAAAGAGAAGCAGAAAGGTAGAAATGACACATAACATGAATTCCCGCAAGACACTTATCAACAGGATCCTCCCAGGAAGATACCCGGAACTCATCTCCAGATGTGGAGAAACCAGCCAGCCACCATGGCTGTCATCATTGGAAGAGGCGAGTGGTGAGATGGGGACCAGCTCCTGGCTGCTTCCACTGAAATCAGGGGTCAAACCAGGTTCCCTTTCCAGACCCCATTTCTGTCTGAAATGTCATTATGGATGAGAGGAGCACTCCTCACAGATCCCCTTGTGGACACTGGGAGACAGTGTCCAGCTCCTGGGACTCCCAAGGACCTGGGGTCCTCTCTCAGAGTTAAGGAGAGCTGGAAAACATCCCAGTGTGTGAGGGTGGGGAGGGTGATGAAAAGATCAGGAAGGAAAGGTTTTACAAAGGAAAGGTAAAGCAGACCTCTAGCCATTTCAAAGCCCTGCATGTCAGATGAGTCAACCTGATGACGCAGGGAGTGAACTATGGGGGAGTGCAGAGCATGCTGGTTGCTGAGGCAGCCCCCGCCCCCACAGTCACATGCCACCCCCATAGGACCCAGCTCCCAAGTCTTTAGTCTTCCTTCTTTCTCTTTCACCCTGAGCCTAGGGAGTCAGGAATGTTCCCTCTCCCACTGCCTCCCTAGGAACAAGTTAGACCAACAGCCAAGGGAAGGCACTGGCAGTCAGCCCAGGGTCCAAGTCCAGGGATGGCTGGTGGCAGCAAAAGCCACCCGATCAAGGGGCAGGGCCTGGCCTAAAGGACTTCCAGCTATGGGGTGGTGTGAGACTTGAGACCGCCTCCCTGCTCCCCATCATTTTTCTTGGTGGGGATGGGGTAGCCTCTATGTCATCACCCAGGTGGTCTAGCCTGGACTCAAAGTGCAGGAGCCCAGGAGCAGCCTTTTAGGGATACGGATCATATGCAGGGGCAGAGCAGCAGGCGAAAGAGGCTCTTGGGTTCTGGTCTTTGGCCTGGTATAGGAAACTCCTCCTTCCCAGGCCCTAGGAAGATGCTTCTAGAGGCCCAAGAATACCTACTCCAGCGTCAGCCACACCATCCACAGAGGGGCCAACTAGCCGTTGGTCTCCTACTTTCCAAATGCTGGTATCTTAAGAGTAAATTCAGTCATTTGGGAAATGCCCTACACCTGCTAAAAGTGACACATGTCCTTATGAGAGGCCAGGATTTCGCTGTACCTAATGAAGCCTGAGCTTAGGCTGAAGGCCTGTGTGCAGACTTGGAAAGCCATCTGATAGAGAAATGGCCCTGTGTGCTGGTACAGGAATGCAAAGCTAACACACCTGTTCTCTAGACGGCCTTTGAGAAAACATATACCCTGGAACCCAGGAGCTTTGGTCTCTAAAGAGGAGTTAGACCTCTGGGTCTTTATAAACAGCTCAGGCAGGAGAAAGCAGAGGAGAGCAGAAGCTGAGCCGTCCTGAGTTTTTCAGTGACCAACCCAGCAGCAGGCAACCAGGCCCCCAGGAATGGGCAGAGCCTGGGTGTATGTGGAGGTGCTGCCTTTGTCTATCTTCTTATTTGAGAAAAACTGGGATTAAGTGGGGGTAAGTCAGGGAGAATAAAAAGTCACCAAGTCCAGCATCCTAGCCTGGCCTGGTAAGCCATTGGCTCCAGCTTGGTTTTGGTAAGCCAGAATCTTCCATAGCATCTACTAGCTAGGGCACTACCTCCTTATCAACCTGCCCACATCTGGGACCTGCAAGATGGTTCCTGCCAATAAGGTTCTGTAAGTTGTTCTCCGGAACATGGTGGTGGTAGGATGTCTGCAGGGCTCTAGATGCCCAGGTACCTGCAGCCTGGCCTTTCAGTGCTTCCAGCCCCAGGATGCTGGTGGCTGAGTTTTGCAGAGGCACCAAATGGGTCTGTCAACATTCCATCTGGAGCAGCCCCAGCACTAGAATGGTAGACTCTAAGATCCCTAAGTCTGTCCCTGGCCTCTTCTTCACTTCACTCCCTTACTCCTATTCCAATCTCACCTATACCCTTGGGCCTGACTGCCTACTTTGCTGCTTCTGCTCTCTCCTTTGCTGGACTCCAAGAGTCTCTCTCTTGATAACATCTCAGGTTCCTCATGGCCCCACCACCCCTGTCATGCTGGTATGCTGATTCTCCTTGTCCCCTGCCTGGCCAGGGATGATGAGATGACTGCCTCCTTTGGGTGTGTGCTGGGGATACAGAATTCTGTAGGAATTCCGGGGAATTCTGTGCTGAGGAAGCCATGGCCTCCCCGCTTGTTTGCACTGTCACGCCTGACTCCTGGCTCTCTTCTCATCCCCCTTGAGATTTCTTTCCAAGCCCACCATCTTCTCCAGCCCCTGATGATGCTGCAACACCCTCCCTCACTCCAGCCTTCTCAGAGATGACCTGTTCTGTTTCCAAAAGAAACCAAAGCCATCAGGTGGGAAGGCCCACCCTATGTTCCCATCCACCAGCCCACTCCTGGCAGGATCCATTCTAATCTCCTTTCCTCTCCTACTCTTCAGTTCAAGGCTACTCTCTTCTCCCAGCCTACTGAGCCTGTCCCCTTCCTTCTTCTCTGAGAACACTGCAGCCTCTGCCTTTCCATTGCTCCTTCCTCAGAGTCCACAAACACCCCAGGGTCTTAAACAACAAAAAGCCTCCCTCGATCCTGCACCCCTTCTTCTTACCTCTCCTATTTCTCCCCTTCCTTCCACAGTCATGCTTCTTGGAAGCACATGGGCACACCCACACCTGCTACGGTCATCTAGTTACCCCTTGCTTCACTCATTTCCCCCTCCACCACTGCCCCCCTCATTCCTGGCAATAGCTCCCCTTCAGCCACGTCATCAACATCTGGGGGCTCCTCTGCAGACCTCCCATGGTCCTCTCTGCCATGCTACCTGCTATGGATGGCCAGTCTCCCCCTGATGCTATCTGCCATTGGGGGTTCTGCAACTGACCTCCTGGCTGTCCTCCTACCTTCTATCTTACTCCCCATCAGCCTCTTTTGGAGTCACCAAAGAAGAGAATGACTCAGTCCATAGATAAGTGGGTTCCCCATGGTTTGTTCCACTCAACACACACACACACACACACACACACACACACACACACTGCTCCCCTCCACATGTACCCTGCACTTCATCCGATTTCAACTACTTTATTTGTGGTCCACATCATTTTCCAGAAAAGCATACCTTGGGAGCCAGTTCCCTGATGGACCTCTCTCTAGATACAGGGATTCAACAGGCCCAAATCTGAATTCACTGTTTTATCCCCCAACTCTGCCCTTCTCCTAAACCCTCAGTGCCCTCTACCAAGTTACCCCAGTCAGAAATCTGGGTGTCGTTCTAGGCTCCTCCCTCACATCCAATGACCAAAGTCCATCCCATTCCATCTCCTTGACATACTGCAATATGTCCCTCAAGAAGCTCCCACCTCACTGCTTCTGCCTTAGTTCAGGTCCCCTTATTGTCTGTCAAAAATATCTTACAGCAGTTTCTTCCTTATCAGGGTCCCGGCCTCCAGTCTTTGGCTCCATCTATCCTTGGTATTGTCACCAGG